ACGCGGTCCGTAAAGCGGATGATCAGATACCTACAGATGATTTACTTATAGCTGGATTTCATGAACCTTTTCGACTTGATAGGAATTTTGCTGGTGGAGGTGTTTTGGTCTACATAAACGATCTTCTAAAAGTAAACCGCTTACCGGAGTTAGAATTTCCTGGGGATGAGGTAATTTGGATTAAAATCACACTAACCAATTCGTCTTTCATCATAGGTACAGCATATAGTCCAGAAAATTCTGTGTTACCCTTTTGGGACAATGTGCGTACATCTATTAGTAATGCTTTAGACACAACACCAAATATAATAGTAACTGGTGATTTAAATGTCGACTTATTAACTGCATCTCCTAACCATTATCTTTTCGAAATTATAACTTATTTTAGTATGATTAATGTCATAAACGAACCAACTCGTACTGGACCAACTCGATCCAGCCTTCTGGATCCCATTCTCTTAACTCTTCTAATCTCTAAAGTCTATTTCTTGTGTTGATTCTTCTATCATACCAGTTGATAAATCCTTCAGTGATCATGATAGCTGTACTGCTTGCATTAATCTTCCATGTGCTTTTAGATCTATTTATAAGCGTAAAATCTGGATGTATAAAAGGGCTGATTTCCGAACGTTTAATAATCTTATTTCTAATTATAATTGGAATGATCTTTTCCTTAATTGTAACACAATTGATATTGCTTGTGAACGTTTTACTAATATTTTTTTAGATTTTGCGAATTCATGCATTCCATCTAAAGTGGTCACTATTAGACCTAATGATAAACCTTGGATGACCTCTGAATTAAGGAAAAATTTGAGAATTCGTGATAGGTTACATAAAATCGCGAGGTCAACCAAGCGCCTTTCGGATGTTAATAAATTTAAGTCTCAACGAAATAAGGTTAACAACATGAAAAACCACGCCCGTTTATTATTTTATGAGAATGTTCATGGTATAATTGAAGAATTTGTGTCGTCTGATCCAAAATCTTATTGGAGACTTATTAAAAGGTTAATGAATTCAACTGGAACTTCACAATCTATTCCTTCTCTTGTAGATCCTCATACTAATAATGTTGTTACTAATGATGAAGACAAAGCTAACTTATTAAATTAATATTTTTGTAATATTACACAAGTCGATGATAGAAACACTGCAGTTCCTGTAGTTGAGTCTAAAACCAATAAAACGTTTAGTTCTGTAAGAGTAAATAGAAATGAAATCCGTGATGTTTTACAGATATTGAAGCTCGGAAAGGCCTCGGGTGAGGATGGAATAAGTCATCATATGTTAAGAAATACATCACAAACTGTTTGTATTCCACTTGAAATTATTTTTAACATGTCCTTATCGTCAGGCATATTTCCAGCCAATTGGAAAGTAGCAAAAGTTATGCCACTGTTTAAAAAAGGTGACAGGCATTCTCCCTCTAACTATAGACCGATTTCTCTTCTATCTACTGTTGGAAAAGTCTTTAAGCGTGTTATTTTCAAACATCTACATAATTATTTCGTTGAAAATTCATTGTTTTATAAACATCAGTCTGGCTTTATGCATGCGCATTCTACTGTATATCAGCTCATTGAAATTGATCACAATATTTGTATTGCTATTGAAGAGAAAAAACACGTATGTATGGTTTTCTGTGATATTTCTAAAGCATTCGATCGTGTTTGGCATAACGGTTTGATGGTAAAACTAAAATCGTACGGACTTTGTGGTGAGCTATTTACGTGGCTAGAAAACTATGTATTTAATAGGCAGCAGAAAGTTTTCCTAGTGTTTGTTCTCAATTAGGTTCAAACTCAGCAGGGTTCCTCAAGGTTCCATTCTTGGACCACTTTTGTTTCTTATATACATAAATGATATTGCCGATGTGCTTGAATCATCTGCTCGCCTTTTTGCAGACGACACTTCTTTATTAAAGTCTTCCTCATCATGTCTTGAAATCCAAACTGTCTTAAATAGGGATCTTGATTCTTTAAACTTTTGGGCTAAAACTTGGTTGGTTACTTTCAATCTAGATAAAACTGAGGTAATATTTGTTTCTTATTCGATTGACATAGATGATGATTTAGACCTGAAGTTAGATGGGAAAGATTTGAATTTTACTGATCATCATAGGCATTTGGGGGTAAATTTTAACTCTAGCGCAAAATGGGGGGGATCATATCAATGCTACATATATGTCTGTTATGAAGAAAATCAATGTTTTAAGAAGGTTGAAATATTTGTTAAATAGAAATAGTCTCCTAAAAATTTACAAAGCTTTTATTTTACCAATTTTAGAGTATGCGTGTGAATTGTGGGACGGTTGCACTAATACTGAATCAGATAAATTAGAGAAAGCCCAAAGAGAAGCTGCTCGTATTATAACTGGCCTTCCTTCTTATGCATGTATAGAAAATTTACATTTTGAAACTGGTTTAGATACACTTTCGAATCGTCGAAAACGAAGAAAACTTCAACTTTTATTTAAAATGCATAACAAGCTAACTCCAGATTATTTAAACGATATCTTGCCACCTATTGTTGCAGATAATAACCGATACAATCTTAGAAATAACAATGATTATAGAGTTCCTCTATTTGGGCTTTCTCTTACAAACCTCTCTTTTATACCTTCTATAATTCGTAGCTGGAATTTGTTAGATTTCTAACATTTGTACGGTCACTGCCTTCCATAAATTTGTTTAAAACCTCACTTACTTTAAATACACAACAATCCCCACCTATTTTAGTTATGGTGAACGGAAGTTAAACATAATACATACTAAACTTAGACACAGTTGTAGTTCCCTTAAATACGATCTTTATCGAGTAAATCTTGCTGAAAATCCAGTGTGCTCCTGTGGACATCCTTGTGAGAATGCCTTTCACTTCTTCTTCGAGTGTCAAACTTTCAGAAATGAAAGACACATTTTGTTTCAAAATCTGGCTGAGTTAGAAGTAGATTTGAATTTAGAGCTTCTTTTATTTGGTAATAACGATCTTTCTGAGGACCTAAACTATTTTGTCCTTACACATGTGCAAAATTTCATTAAATCCAGCAAAAGGTTTTAAAAGATTCTTATACGATGATGTATTTATGTCTGTGTGTGAATGCTTAATATGTATAATTTATGTTTAAGCCTATCTCTTTATAAACATGTATTTGAAAATGTATGTTGGGAGAGGGCTCCAATAAGTTGTAATAACTTGTGCCCAATTCCCTTGTTCAAATTTATTTTGGCAATAAAATATGTTTAAACTAACCGTAAAGCGTTAAAGTTCCAGCGAACGAGCTGTTCTATATCAAACGGATCACATATGTATTCCACATACGTTGTCACAAAGCGCGCATGCCCGACAGAGAGGACGAAAGAGAGAACAAAAGAGAGAAGTATGTATAATTGTTGACTTGTTTAACAGATTTTTATATTACCTTCACTCGAGCAGGCTCCCCTGAAATAGTATCGGCGGGTCCAGTAATAGTTTATCATTGGTATAGATTTATTCTTCGGACCGCATAGTTACTACAAGCAAGGAAGCAATGATAAGTGTCAACAGGATGTCCGCATTGGCAGTGACGGTAATCTTCTAAATTGAAATTGAAACGGTCATTTTTAAGGTCACTAGATTTTTGCTTTCTTAAACCGATCCGAATAATTTTGAACTAGTTTACTGATTAAGAAACACTGTTCTAATTTCAAGGTCAAGTGAGTTCCAAAACCAGATGGTAGAAAGGAAAACGGATACACGGTGAAGACCTCGACTTTTCAATAAGATGCTTAACAACTTCACGTACAACTTCCTAAACCGTTATTACCAACTCTTATTGGTGAAAACAATAGATATGCTTGGTGTAATAACAACTTCGGCATTCCTCAATCGAGACTCTCCCTAACCCGATCGTCTTTTATACTTATCACTCTTCAGAATACTTTAAATGATGTGGTTCGTTCACTACCTCTATTCGATTTGTACCGTCTCCCCTGTCTGTCTATTAAAGTGTCGATGATCAGAAATGGGATGTTTTACACGCACGACTTAGACACAATTGTAGTTCTTTTGATCATATTTTTACAGTAAACCTTGTAGATAATACTTCATGTACTTGTGGTGCTCCTTGTGAAAAGTCTTTCGCTATTTCAGAGTATCATCTTCATACTATTTTAATCTAAAATTTCACTAGTTAGAATGTTTCATTCAATAAGTATACAATTTTTTCAGAAATTATTGTAGATAATTTGCATGTATGCGTGTTTCCTTGAAAGTACTTTACCGCCTAATTAAATGTATATTGAGAGAAGGCGTGAGTAAGTTGTAATAACGTGTGCCTCACCCTTGCTCAAATGTTGACGATAAATGTCCAAATAAAATAAAATCAAAATCAACCATCAATCTATAGTCGGTATTTTGGTAAAGAATAGGTCTGTGCATCACGAAGACTATGCTGCGAGTTTTCTTATTCTAAAGAAGATAATAATGAGATCATGTGATAAGCTTAGAGTTTATTCTCTATTTTGTAGAATTGCTGTAGATTTCTTCACTAATGTCGTTCTGATAACTTCTAAATCGCTTTTAAAATTAAGATTTTTTTACTGGTATAAACGATAGTAAACCAGTGACTAATTTTTTCTCAGTTTGTTTGCGATTAATTGCATGCAGGACAGAAAGTTAGGTATACCAGCACCAAGGTATCTCATTAAAAAAACGAAATAATTGTCTTTGCTTTGTCATTGTTAATATTTGTTGGACGATGTTTATCAGAACTAGTTTTCATAGTTTTACAAAAGATATATAAGCACAGAATCAAAACATTTCCATTTGCGTTTGTACGTTCTCGATATAACAATGATTATCTGAAAACTAACCTTTTTGTCTAAATTCTGATCCAGAAATGTTTTTCTTGTTACAGTTACGTCCCCTGATCTTGTTATAGAGGCCGCTACCAATTCAGGCAAATATCAATTCCGACACCCCCCTCTAGGGCCATCGAACTTCCCTGCTCAAGAAGGACGAAAATAAGGAATTTCTGCGCATACATTACACCAATTTCGACAACTTTGCAGCCTTACTACGCTGTCTTATCGGTGAGATTAGAACTTAATGATCTCATATAATATTATTCATTTATTTATCTTCAATCTTGCAAAGTTTTGTTTGATATTTATACGTGAATACACGTGAAATACTGCTCCAAACGAAGTTACCGTATCGGTTTAATATGAGCAAGGCGCAGACGCAATGGCGACTTCCCCGTTGCCACTAAACTTTGAGTATGAATAAAATTTCTCTGAGGCCAGCACCGGTGCAATCCTGTATGATCTTTCACATGAGATAATATGTTAATATGTTCACTTGATTCGTTAGATATCATGGACATCGCAATTTCTTGGTCATGACCGTCGTAATTTTCGCAATCTCCAGGTCGCCGTGATCTGTTTACTATTCGGTGCAGCCAGGGGGAAGTGCGCGTAAACTAAGCGCAGTCGCAATGATTCAGCACCTGTCTTTTTACCTTGCGCACGCATGTGAACGTCCTCCGATAAAACAAGCACTTGCAGACGACAAGTTGCGCTTTCTGATGGCATGTTAGCCTTTATTGAACAAATAAACTTAGCACAGTACTGTTAAACCATAGTATCTTTGGTGCATAAACTCATCGTAAGTGCGACTCGGTGTTACATGGTCATAGTTCCTGTCTATAAGAGTAGTAAATATTGAAAATGTCCCTTTTCAAGAAATTTAGAAAAATGACTTTTATAATTAACTTGAAACTCTTAACTTGGTCAAAATATGTCAATGATTTTTTTAACCTGTTTACAGGTTCTGCATATAGGCTTATGAAATGAGTGCTGTTTACTATATTGTAGATTGTCATTTGAGATGAAAACATAATATTAACTACTATAGCATAATATAGGTACAGTATACTTTGATAACTCACAAGTATCTTAGTTTTTGGTTGATTTAGTAATAATTTGTACATTTTGTGATAGAAAATTATGCTTTTCATATACATACAAATTTTCCATTTTCTTCTCTTCAGAAATTATATGAATCTCTTGTACCTCTGGTATATAATGTGAGAATTGTGAATGATGATGAACTCCACCCTGGCCTCTTCAGTGGCCAGTGCAATGTCTGGAGCTGGAACATTGACCATCAATACCACACCAATGAGCACAGGAATGCTTAGTGACGGCATGAGTGAGCCAAGCTCACCTGAAAGCTCATTTGATGCCTCAGATCTTTTGTCAACTGGAATGTCAGATGAAATCACTGTTCAACTTGCTGCATCTGGTAAGTAAAATATAATAGGGCCTAATTGATTTTCATAGGCAAGATAAAAAAAAACTAGATACAGGAAACTAGATACAGAAAACTAGAATATAAACATTAAAGCAATAAATATAACATACCAAAAGTACAATAGCAATGCAGCATATATATCAGATATCATATTTTATGATTGATGACCAGTAATTTGGAGTAGAAGAATGTCATTCATTTCAGTATTTTGAGTCTGAAATGCTTGGTATTTTCAAGACATGTATCATCCATTTACTGTTAAGGTTTGATGTTTTTAAAGGAACGGTTGGAATGGCAGCAGCTGCTGCAATTGCTAGTGGTATAAGAAGGAAAGCAAAAAGGCCACATACTTTCGAAACAAATCCTTCCATCAGAAAACGCCAACAGACAAGACTTCTTCGGTTAGTTTCTTTGTGTATTGAATTTCAAATGGGAATTTCATAATAAGTTCCTTGAAGCATGCTACTGTTTTGTTGTGGAATACAGTAGGTATGGTGATCACATTTTCTGTAGAAAAATATTTTAATGAGCAGAATATTATGAGAATCTGTATATAACTAGCAAGCTGTAATAAGAAATGTATTGATTGGCACCGACTCTGTAGGTTATAGACTTAAATCAGTCCCCCCGACCCCCCCCCCCCCCCCCCCCCCTTTTTTTATTTAGATAATTTTATAATCAGAAAATACAGAATTGTATTAATTCACATAAAAAATAATTTTTTCATGAAGTGTTAAAGACTTGGCATTTCTTGTTAAATTTGAAAATCGTACATTATCTCAAATCTTGCATACTCAATAAAAGCATCAATGAAGATCAGAGTGAAATGACAGATAAAATATATTTAGTAAAATGGTATTTGGCTTTCAGGAAATTGAAGCGGACTATCGAGGAATACACAACACGTGTTGGCCAACAGGCAGTGGTATTATGTTGTACTCCAGGCAAATCTTCTCAAAACAATTACAAGGTTTTTGGATCTCAGCCCCTAGAGAATGTGGTAAGTATGATGTACTACTGAAATGATAATATCTTTTATGCCATCAACCCTCAAGAGAATCTCAAAGGATAGCACAGCCAATGACAATATTAGATCTGTTTTCTAGTCACCTGATACTAACAAGTATTTGTGGAAAAATTTCAACAGAATTTGCTAATTTTGAAAGAACAAGTTACTATGCTAGTAGCAAGGGATGTTATCCATTTATGGGCCACGACAAAAAACAATTTTTTGTAAATCTTTTCTATTGTATACTAAGCATTTACACTGCTTTAGATCCTTTTTGACAGTTAATCATTCAGTTTCCAAGCAAATTTCAGACAAGTATTGCTAAAGAATTTTTGAGATATCAATAAAAGTTAAGGCTTATCATCATTATTTTACATAATTACTTTTACATCAACTTATGAAAACAATACATTCTGATAATGTTCGTCTTCGTAGGTGAGAAGCTGTAAAGGTGTGGTGTTGCAAGATTTAGAATCTACTTTATCAGAGCTACCTTCAAATCAAACAGAGACAAGTGGTCTGCATGAGTTGCCTCCCCTGTCAATAGATGGAATACCTACCTCAGTTGATCAAATGACACAGGTGGTGTATATGCTGAAGTTCTTCAATATATAATATCATAACACATTGAAGGTGGCTGATCTGGTAGTTAGTTATCCTTGTTAGCTTGTCAACTTTACCAAAACCTGATCATGACACAATCACAAAAATCATGGAAGTACACCCTTGAGAAAGTCCATAACTCTAAAATATGCAACAGCTTTGCATTTGTTCAGGCTAGGAGAATTCATTATTGCATCACTTGTATATGTTTCCTATTTTCTTATAGAATGAAAATGCATGGTTATACCAGTTCTATTCCTTATTTAACATTTTCTGTGTCGTTAGGCCCAACTACGGACATTTATACCAGAGATGCTGAAATACTCAACGGGACGCAGTAAACCTGGATGGGGCAAGATGGAATGTATACCTGCATGGTGGCCTAAAGATATACCCTGGGCTAATGTCCGTAGTGATGTCCGGTCTATGGAGGAAAAGAAGAGGGTAATTGTTGGCTATATTAAGTTATGAAAGTACAGGAAAACATCTATGATTCAAATTTCTCAATGTAACAAAGTTTTTGTCCGGTCCCAAGTTTTATTCCTTTATATTACTTCTAACTTACCCCCTTATGAATCAAAGTTTTATAAATTGAACTTTTTGATGTATCAAACTTTTCGATGTATCAAAGTTTTTAACAGACCGTAACAGTCTTCGCAAAAGGGATGAAAAATTGGCAGTCATCCAGAATGGTGAAAATATTTTTCTGCCAGATTCGAAAAAAAATCTGCCAGATCGAAAAAGAAACCTCAATATTCTCCAAAAAAACAAGTATAATTAACTGTATTTATGCAACACAATCACACAAAGACACATTTCTGCTTGCATAGTGATATTGCATATTTCAGTAGATCCCTATTTCCTGAGACATTTCTTTCAATGGACCTTGTGCACATGAAAACTTGAAAATATGAATATATTTTGATGAAACCTCAGGTCTTCCAACTTTCTTGAAACGAGCGTGGTAGTCTTTTAGATTCATATTCTTTGACCTTTTGTTTTTTTTTCACTTCCTGTTTGTTTTCATTTCTGGCCAGGTTTTGCATCTTCATAATACCTTAGAAACGACATAATACTTGTAATGACAGAATGTTAATACATTACATGATGTTCAAAAGCGAAAATGTATTGAAAATGTTTCTAATAATCAAAATTTTCTTGTTGTTTTCGTCCGGGAATTTTGCTGACAGCATTTACAAATCTGCAATGATACAAGCTAATTGATTGGATAGGTTGGCTTTGCTTAACCAATCAGAAACATTGATACATTACAAGGTTATTATACTGGAAACTCAGCCCTTTAACATTTATGTGTCAGTCTTAAGATAATTTCTGTATCATGTGAAGACCACTTTAATGCTGCCCATTATTTCATTTAAAGGATCAATTTCTCGTTGATCTCTATTTAAAGGTTTTTTTTTCAAGAACGTTTGAAGATAAAAATGCATCTTTTCATTTAAACTTATGTTTTGGTATTGTTGTGTTTTTTCAGGTAGAAATATTGTGTCATCAACTTTATATAGTCATGAACATGAAAATGTTGATATAACCCACCAAGCATTATTCAAAGTCTTGATGTATCGAATAGTCAATAATAAATCAATAATTTGGTAGTCCCTTGAACTTTGAAATATCAAAGTTTGACTGTACTTTTAAAGAATGTTGTAAGTCTTCTTTAGAATCAAAAGGCTTGTACATAAGATATTTCAAGAATTTACGCCATGGTAAATAAAAAAAAATTATTAGAGATTAGATCTTAATGGTGTTCATTTATAGTTAAATGGACAACAATCACACTTTACCATTTTGCAAATAAAAAGTTTGTGAACTGTTTAGCAGATCTCATGAAACTTCTAAACAGACTTAGTTCATATTCAAACTCTGGTGCTGGAACTTAACCAAGTTCAGTTTTCATATCTTGATATCCTGAAAAAATTCCAAAAAATAATTGCTTTCATTTTTGTTCCTAATGATCTATGACTGTTTTGTATTGTCTAGGTTTCATGGACAGAAGCCCTGAAGACAATGGTGAAGAACTGTTACATGCACCATGGAAGAGATGATCTACTAAACTTCTTCAATGGTGACCAGGAGCAAAATCAGCCAGCTTCCCAGACAATGCTACAGACCATCAATAATCCAGATGGAACTGTTTCTATCATACAAATAGAAACTGGTCCAAACCAGGTGGTGACCCTCCCAGATGGCACTCAGGCCACTGTAGTAAACACAGTTAACTCGGTGAGTCAATCTTCAGAAAATAAAGGGTCATTTTTAGTTTGTTTTTACATACATGTACAAATTCCAGAAACAAATGCCAATTATGCAGCATGTTTTGCTGAACTCAGGCAGAGGGGTCATTTCTGGTTTCCATATGAGGGATTTGTTAGACATTGTGCTTCTCTGTTTCTCGGATACTACAAATCCCACATCAGTCCATAAAACTATGCTGATCCAATAGTGTAACACTTTCTTTTGCAAGTCAATGAATCATCTTGTCGCTTCACTTGGTAATGTGATTCTATTTCCATGAAAGCAATACAAAAAGTGATATAACTATCCTAACATTATCTATTGATTACTTTGTCATCAGACATCCCAAGTCCCGCAGGAGGCCACACATGCCGTCCAGACACTTGCTGATGTGGTGGCCAATAGGCAGGAGATGCAACTTGGTACCATGAATCCAGTACAGGTGGAGATGAATGTGGAATCAGTGGGGCATGGAATGGCAACCATTTCAGATGATGGCCACATAATACTGACAGGAGATGGAAATCTAACAGGTACAGATATTGTAAAGTTCCATAGGCCTCGAAGGTCGTCCTAAATATGTGTGATTTACGGTCACAAAGTCAGATGTTTAACTTATTTCAGTGATTAACTTACATGTCCCTTTTGTTAAATGGGATACATGTAATGTAACCCATGTTGGTCCATCCTGTCATGTCCCATCACATCTTGTCCTGTTCAGAATTCGTGTCATATCCTGAAAACTTCTCGACAGATCGGATTCAGATCGACCTCATAGTACAGTTGTGGAATAGCACAACATTACATGATATGCGATGTGCACATGTCGTCTGCAGGATGTGGGCACGATTGGAAAACCGGGCAAAATAACTATTGCATATATGTTCACATGTTGTTCAGTCCTATCGCACAGATGTGCGATTCTATCATGGCTGATATAGATTTAGAAATGACTAATAGATAAAAGTGAATTAGGGTTTATTTTCTTAATATATGATAGTACAACCAAGTATATTACCTTATTAAGCTATAAATGTATAGGTTGGACATATGTAGATATATTAGATACAGTCTGAATAGTTTTATACCCTTGTAATTTAAAGTGTTTTGCTTATAAAGTGCCACACATGACCAGTCTTAGTGTACGGACGCTCATTTCATATGTAAACAATAAATGGATGCCTGTTTTTCATCTTGATAATGAATCATCTAAAATCTTATACAGTCAGAAAGATAATTTTATTTCCACTACTTCTGTATTACTCTCATTTTTCAATCATTTTGCAAACAATATAATTCATGGGAGACCTAGCCAGTACAGATCTGGACCTGTCACATATATTTCCATATACAGGTAATTTTTGTTGCCCAAAGTACACCACTCGGCACTCTTTGAGGTGACACAATACGATAGAAGACTAATAAATGCAAGGTCCATTTTTCTTTCAAATTAAAGATGACTTCTATAATAACTGATCAATTTTGATACTCTTGTGATGGCTATTTAGGCATAACTACATGAGTTTTCCGTTCAATTTTAAATGTAAAATATTTGTGTACCTTTTTTATCAAACCGTACAAAATGTGCAACGATACAGATATACTAGATACAGTATAGTGCGTGTGTGAGCAAAATATGCATTGTGAGCTACCACAACTTTTTTACATTAAGTAATACCACTGATCAGATCCTGGTTTACATAGTATTGGGGACATTCATATTTCATTTATATTTCCTTCCTGTTTTTGGTATCTTTGTCATATTTGTGTATAAATTATAATGAGGTTTACCTTGAATGAATATGTCACACATTTGTGATTAGATGTAGCTTGAGCCAACAACCACATTGATACAGCTGTCACCAAAAGAAGGACTGAAACTAAATATTATGAAAACAAATATTGTTCGGAGTTTTAGATATTGCAACCATTTTAGTGTTCACTGATTAGAATTCTCCTGTGATGGTAAACTGACCATGTATTCTTACTCTTTCAAGGTTTAATGACAATACCAGCCATACCTGTGTCCATGTACCAGCAAATGGGGTCAACAGTTACCTCCCTTGCCCAGTTACAACAGCATGGCAATATACACGTGATTGCAAAACAGGAACCTGAGGGACTTGGCAGTGTAGGACAGGAAACAATGTCAGACCAGTGTGTACAGGAAGTCATTCATGTCCTGCCAAACTCTATTGATAAAGATGACAAACTGACACAATCCTGACAACACTCACCAATGAAAATATTTCATTGCAATATTTATTATTTCTGTTATTGTTGAAATGTCAAATGCTGTATATTAGATTTCAGTTTAAATATTATCATGAATGTGTGAAGCCTTCAGCTCTACCAATTGTAAGAACAATGAGGAAAATTGTCTTCTGACTCTTGCAGCTACTTAAAATGTTTTTTAAACTACAAAGGTATTCATTCTCAAACTAGCATTTCATATAAATTGTTTGAGAATAAATTTCAACTACCATATTACAGCCTATAAGCTACAACTGTGACTGCTACTCAACAAGCACAGTGTACCAACTTATGAAATTCAAAAGATTTTGAGAAATAGAAGTATTGGTGTACAGGCTGTTTGTATATCAAAATTTTATAATTTTATGATTTTTGGTTTTAATTGTATATGAGGTTATAATGACTTTTTAGATCATCTGAGACAATGGTGGAACCATTGTTGAATCAATATAACTTTAAACTGAGTGAATTTCTTACATAGGGCTCTCACAATTTCCCCAAGGGAAGAGATAATATTTTGAGTTTATGAAGGTAGATTTTGATAAGAAAGTAAAACTTAGTTATAATATGGGATGGCTGTTATTTTTTCCATTCAAACTTAATCCTGAATAGCTCCTAGGGACTGAAATAGTGGGGCCAATGGGGTCAGAAAACTAAAAAAATTCTGCTTCATACACCAAAATGCTCTTCGTATATTATCATAATGGATGGGTTTTTTTAAAAGCCATTGTTTTCTAAAATAAATTCATGAGGTAAGTCTTGTTTCCTTTAAGAAGGGTACATTTTATTATACTTAAAGCATGTACAAGCCATAAGATTTAACACTTTTGGTTCTTTATATTTCATTTACTTTGAATTGAAGTAATTCAGAGTTATCAGCACATTGTACTAATTCTTTTACCATGTACATGTCCCACCTCATCCTAAAGACGATTGAAAGAGGTTGAAATATCTAAAACCTGAAAGTTTTCTTCAATCCCATGGTTACTGGAATCAGTTCCTTTTCATCTCTTAATCATAATACCAGATATTTGGTAGGACAGTATAATTGTTTTTGAAAGAATCTAGCTAAACGATGATATTAATATAGCTTGGCTCGGATTTGTCTCTCATTGTAAAAGAATTTATAATTGCCTTGCATTTGTCACTACAAAACAAGAGAAATAACAATGTTTAAAAAACTCAGGGGGCTGTTGAAGTCATTCTTTTTTTAAATTATTGGATTTATTGATGTAGAAAAAACCAGTCACAAGTGATTAAAGCTTGATGTGACTTAATTGAAACTCCTTGTGAGCATTTACTTACTGAGGATAATGTAAAATGTTATTTCTAAATCTTATAGTACTTTGAAGGTCATCAGTATTTTTTCACGGGTATATCTGTTGGATAATTTGTGTGGCAAGTGTGTTTAACAAATTATATTTTATTGACTTAACATTGTTCACCTACATGATTGTAACCATTCTGAGTTACTTCCCTTCATTTCACACTGTCAGATGGTATAGGTGCAAGCTTGACTGCTGATAGGGGTCGAGAATAGATATTAAAATAATGGAAGTTTATATCATTTTAATAGATTCATTTATTTAAGAATTGGTGCACAGGAAAGTGTTGCTTAGAGTTTGCCTAATATATAATTAAAGAAAGTGTTTGGAAACTGAATACTTGCAATTTATTTTTGTGGCTTGCAAAAATTTGATGAGGTAAAAAAAAATTTTTATCCAAAGTATGTTCTTGGTCTTATATGGAAACCAAAAGCTGAACAGGATGGTAGAATATTTTCTCGCAAGGTTATGGTGTTCAATAGCTTTTATAATCTATCGATTATTTTTTAATTTGATTTTTAGTCAATTTTTTTCTTGTCAAGCATGTTATTGGGCATTTTCAGACATCATGGGTCTTATTTCTGATATTTGATATATATTTACATGTGTAAGAGCAAACCAGTTGTTTATCTTTGAATTACAGGTAGCAATCTGTTATATTTAATGAACAATGAATCTCACTGTATTTTACTGTACAACAATAAAAAATTATTATTTTCAAATGGTATAACCAATTAAAACCTGATTGTAAACTAGCTTCCTTTTGTCTTGCCTGTAAACAGTTGTTTTGTAGAATTACATTAAGGATTATGACTACAGATGTATCAACTTTTAAGTTAAATCAGGCAAAATCAATCTCAACAGACTGGAAGCTGCTTCTCCAATATTTTATTAGGTATTCCGTTGGAACACAAGTGAACTTTTAAGTCAGTATTATGTAAATTTATATTAAATTTTCGGATTTTATTCCTCTCTTTCCATGGCCTTCATTTGTCTTGATAACATCAACAGTAAAAATCATTACGTGTAGTTGGTTTTCATCAAAAAAATTGTGAGAATGTATCTGTCAAATGAGTCAAAAGTTTTGTTTACACTGAAGGTTTTTGCATCATTGTTATTTTTCAAATTAAAATTTGTTCTTCACTACTTATATTTTATGTTGTTGTTTGTTTGAAGTAGGTATAACTCGCTCTTAAATGATTTTCTACCATGGTCACATTTTCACAACTTTTGTCTCTGTTAATCCCTAAATACAAGGACGGATATACATGTAAGCTGTCAACTATAAATATTCCTAAAATTACCCTGAATCCCTGAATTTTGTGCAACAAAATATCCTTAAGGAAGCCACACAAAGCATTGTTTCAATAATCTTAAGATCGATATTTATTTTAAAAGGCAAGTATTTCAATAAGTTACAGCAATAAAAACGCACTAAATGAGATTGCTAATTCTCGGAATTTGCCAGAAATGTAGAGTAGATGGTATGTATTTAACGTTACAAGCCGAATATATTTTGTAATTGGTGGCTTCCCACTTTACATATTACAGATCTGAATTTGGAATCGTATTAACTGATTGTTTATTATTTTTTAGCTAACCTGCCCTAAGGGCAACTGATTTCGTGTTGTGGTGTGGCATTCTTCTTCCCCACCCCATATTCAAGGTCACAGGGGTAAAATTTGTCAAAACATTTAAACGGCTTCCCCTGAATAATAGAAACTTGTAGACGTGTATGCTATTTAGCGTTATGTCACTGATGTAAAGCAAAGCAATGTTATGAAAAGAAACTTCACAGCGATAATCTTTTAAGGATTTCTGGTGATAACCAAAAGGACTAACAGCTCGATATTGGGCTGGCAGACCATAAGCATCGCGTAACATTAGTATATGCCTGCAAGTCATGAACACGGGGCTTAAGTAAACTCAAAATAATTCCAGTTGTTTGATTGTTAGAAACGTCAGCTGGTTATACCAGAGACATATATAACGTCTCTGGTTATACATTACATATTTCTGTCGTGTGTGCGGTTATAAAAGCATTGATTTCTCGGAGTCAAATATCTATCTATCTTTATAGATAGATGGATTTCTTTATTATCGTACGTGTGTGTATCTTAAGTGATGACATGATACAATCGTTTAATGATGCGAACGCAAACATATTTATTATATATAGAACGCATTTATTGCGGAAAAGTCAAACATTTAAAGTTCAAGTATAGACAAAAATACAATCATGAATATAGAATAGTGATTTATAGAAATAAGAAAATGTGACTTTCTACAGCAATAGCAATGCAAAGCTATCACAGTGAAAAGTTAATAACGAGAAAACGGTTCATCAGACCAGAGACGTATATGTACATTACAGCTTCTGCTTGAATGTTGGTCTCTAACTACGGCAATCAGTATCATATCACGGCAGAGTTGTTATTATTGATACAATGTATATACACACCAAATATATAGTATAACTTGTGTTTGAATGTTGGTCTCTAACTACGGCAATCAGTATCATATCACGGCAGAGTTGTTATTATTGATACAATGTATATACACACCAAATATATAGTATAACTTGTGTTTGAATGTTGGTCTCAAACTACGGCAATCAGTATCATATCACGGCAGAGTTGTTATTATTGATACAACGTATAAACACACCAAATATATAGTATAACTTGTGTTTGAATGTTGGTCTCTAACTATGGCAAGCAGTATCATATCACGTCGGATTTGTTATTATTGATACAATGTATAAACACACCAAATATAATATCTATAGTGTAACCAACGGGAAACGTTATCACTAATCACACTTTTGAATTTACTGATACGATTTGATATTGATATAGCGATATAAAACAGATACAAACACAGGCAGAATTATCTATAGGAAACTAATTAATAACAGACTATTCACTGCGGTGATTGTGAAAAACGTCTGTAAGCATCTCAACTGTCTGATCGCCTGTTGATGTTCATTTGTAATCGGTATTCAGCAGAAGTGTGTAAACAGTAATTTTAACAAAATTACACTACCATTCATAATTCAATCGATTTGTTTTCGACAGTTGGTATCAAAATTTATTTTTAGCACTTTATTACGATTTCTATTAATGCTGTTTTAATCCAAAGTTAATGCAATATGATGTACTACATTTATATGTTTCTTTTTTTTATTTATTTATGGTTTTTCATGGAGAATATTTATGTCAATGAGGGAACTTATAATTGATTCGTCTCTTCAGTGTAGTTAGAAAATACATTGTATTTATTTTCATAATTTTTATTACTTTTTTTTTTGTTGAGATCATCCCTTAACCATCCCCCGAACTTCAAGGAAACGGGGTATTTTTGAAAGTATCTATAATTTTCACTGGCGATTTAAAAAAAAATTAAACGTCTTCATTTTACCATGTGTTTATCTATAAGTAATTATGCCTATATCACGTCTGGTCAAAACAAAGGACATAGCAATATAATGTGTGTATCAGTCACATATACTTGTCGTCATCACAGTTCTTAGAGGATCTCACATCCCCAACAACACTGCTGGGGGTAGTCAGTGGCTTCCACTTTTCTCTCTAGTCCGTATACCCAGAACCTAGTTTTCGTATCGTTCCATTCGTAATGAGCTTCTGTCACAGGTACCGCTCTCAACTGTTGTCTCTAGAAAAGAAGTGTTTCCTCGGGTTAATATCTTTTCATATAAGTCAACACACTTAGTGTATTGAAGGTAGATACTTTACTGTGTGTATCGGTATCAAATTAAAATGGATTTTTGTACGAGAATAGGTCAGCATAAACGTGAATCATGAACACTAACCATTTGTGAAAAAAATAGTTCTTGGCAAAATGTAACTTTGTTAAATCTTTAAAAATATTTCTTCGGTAAAAATCGGGGAAGAGGTATGGTCCCTTATCAATTTTATTTTCAAAATAGCGAAAATACCGGAACTGTTATATATACGTTTCACGTGTTGTTTTTTTCGGTGTATAATGCCTTGAGATCGAATGACTGACACATGTTTTTACCTGTTGGAGTTGTCGTTCATTAGGGAATGCCCCCTTGTGTTGGTTAACAAGGCGAACAGAGTTGTCGTTAATCTCTGCCACAGGATAGGCGGTTATAGGCCAAACCTGGAACATATAATCCAATAGTATTGTATTTGTTTTGATAAGTATGCCTTCCTCAAAATAAGAACAGATGGAGATAGTTTGGTATTCCATCCAATCAATGGGGGATATCTCATATAGATTGATTTTGTCTAACATTCAGATTTGCCACTTGCTTCTTGTGCACACGCATAGTATGTGTTCAATTATAATCAATGGAAGTGAACCAATACGAATGTGTAGTTAGAAGTATACATGTACACTGTTCTCAGGTTATGATAAGGTAGGCGATCAGATATTATTTTACAAATGGTCAGCAGTCTTTGTTGGTCTACGGCTAATGTTACATGTAGTTAATTATATTAATACTAGTGAACAGGTCAGCATATGTGACGCAATGTAGATTATATATCAACAGTGTAGCAATACTCATCTATATGCCGGTACCTTTTATTACTTATGAGACACTTGTTTGTACTATCAGATGTAATACCTAGATAAATATGGTCTACCCATCTAACCGCTATCTGTTATTACTCAACAGTGAGAATGAAAGAAAATCCTACCATGAATGTAATTGTCACTCCTCATACATACCCCTGTTGTATATACGTATTAAACTACACTGATACAAGGTAACTGAACTGGGCTTTATTGTAACAAAACTACACAGAAGTAAAACTTTTCAAATTTAATGAATACTTGGTTCTGATGATAATTATGATATTTTACACAATGAACAATTATATGGCTTTCGTCAGGGAAACCTGATCGGATGTCAAGTATTCAAATCAATTATCATATTACCATTACATTAATCGAAGGTAGGATGTGTTATACAGAATAAATTTCCAGTAAGAGTTTTCATGTATATTTTCGGTGATTGTAGTGCCTACCTGAGGTAAAACCTGCTCGAATATAATGTCCCCGGACACATGTCGGACCAATTCGTCTGGCATATCTGACCGTTCAATGATGTGGTCTACTTTATGGTTAGTGCTGCCAGAAAGAATAATAATAATAAAAACAATAGCATAGCATTGCAGGTAACATAGAGAAAATACAATTTTAATCTCCATACAGAGACTGGTGTCAAAAATCAATAATTTGGAACGAGAAGCGGTGCCAAATCATTTATAGCATCGTAAAAGATTTTATCCTAGCTGCTTATCAATAAATAGGTCACCTCTACTCTTGGTTGGCACTGCCACAAAAATGGGGAAACTCTCTATTTAATTGTGGGATGAGAATCTGGATATGTTTGATGCTCGTTAGCTGACGTGTTGGTTCCGCCGTTCTCATTTGAGAACCTAATGCTGATTTCGTAGATTGACCCAGAAGCAGAACAGGCTTACTCTTCCGGAACACCTGGTCTTATTTTCCCTTGTGCTTTTTCAGGGGTCTCGGTATAAATTTTTCTGATGTTCATATTTTGCTAGAATTTTATTGAATTTGAGTTTGAATTAAGATTCTGTTTTCAAGTTGGTATTTTTAACACTATGGTGAAGTTCATAATCCTGCTAAAACGGTTTTGTCTCAGTAGGTTAGGTTATTCAAATAACTTATCTGCTGCTCAAATTAATGAAACAAGTGTATGCACGCTGTACTTACAATGTCACTGTCAGCTGAATGTAACTTTTTATATTGCGATAACCGTCACATTCATCACACGTAATCCTCCCATCTCCCCCGCATTTGTAACACCTGCAATAAGATCGGAGTTTAAAACCGAAATCAACATCGTCGTTATATGTCGTTATAAAGAGCTGAAAACTTTATACGTTGAAAGCTGTTTCATAATAAAAGGAAAAGCCTTAATTGACTTATATCCGAAATAACTCTATCACTTCTAACTTGCAATAACGAACAGATGTAGCATAGGCATGTTAGTTTGAACTTTCAAATTTTCAATAACGATAATACTAGTATGTTAGGACGTCAGTTTGAATCTTGAAATTTTCAAGAAGGAACAACATATATTAGGATGTTCGTCTGAACTTTCAAAATTTTCAATAATGAACAGATACATGTATTAGGATGTTTGTTTGAACCTGAGTGTATATATAAACATATCACATGATACGTTTAATGCGTTAAAGAACAAAATTATATTAGTTTTACTGTAGCAGCGAAGTTGAAAATGGAAGATTGTGTTGGTGCATGTAAGTGATATAGTGTGGCGTCTCCTACAACAGCAAGGTCATACGATGTCTACACAAAGTACAACACTGCGTGACACACAGGTCTCAGTGTGATTTGTAAATGGCTCACGTGTATTAACATGTTACCTTTTTCTAACATTTCATTAACGAACATTGAATGCTACTCTCTCGTTTAGAGTGATGATTGTATTTTTGACGTATTCTTGCATGTTTTCCTGTTAATCTGATATTGCATGTACTATAGTAAATTAGCTCACCTTTCTCTGCCGTCGCCATGGCAATGATAACACATCTCGGTAATAGGGTTGCCGTGCGGGTCATGGGTATGACGTCGTCCGGATCCGTTACAGTTGTCACAACGCGTATGACCAATTCCATGACATCTCCAGCATATGTGGTAACCACGAGCGTCACAGGCATGGCAGGGCTAGATAAATAGACACAGTGAAGGATATACCAAAGGCGATAGTTTCGGATTCTTTGCTCCTGTCAATAATTGTAATAAGTACAATTTCCACATGAAATCTGAGATTATAAATAAAGGTAGATGGTATTGCACTATTCAAGTTCTCCTTACAAATAAAAATAAAGTGAACATGGACCAGAATAAATGTAAGTATTTTATGAAACATCAAAATATCGTACATATTCGCGAATTAAGTATTCTACTTTCATGTAAAATTAGCTTAATTTGGAAGAGTTGTAAATGTCATAAAAACTTCAGTTATAACCAGAATCTTGGTCAGTATCTCAACAGACAATTAAAAAAAACAAACAAAAATAGAAGAAACCCCAACAACATCGGAATGAAGTACATTGCATCAGAATACGGAGAAATAGAGGACTGGGATACCATCACACTCGCATACGATGTACGATATCTTATTTACCATTACTGTAGCAGTATGAGGAACCTCCTGTCTCTTCTCGTGTGTATTGAACATGGAATTTGCTACACAATGTATCTGCCACGGAGGTGGAGCCGGACCGTTGTGAGGGCCATCCACAGGCCCCCCTCGATAGGGTTCATGTACGTATCCTGTCCGTCTACTTTCACAGAATGTTTCCAAGGTATACTACAGGAAAATATTAGATATATTCAGGTGCATTATTTATCACCCGCCACGCCAAGAGGGATGGCCTTTCTCCCGCAACAGCATCCTTTCTCTACTAGCTATTGGGCTATTTCATTCTATTGACAAACTAGCGACAATGAAACAATTCTGTGTTCATCTCCACTGCTTTAATATATTAAAAACGATGTGTTATCTAAAACTTATCTTTCATAATTAAAATTACAAAGAGTTCGAAACCGAAAAACACAAACCGCTGTAACAATTTATCAACAAGTATATTTATCGCTGTCGTGTAAACATATTTATATTATCATCTTCACATCAGTGTTTTTTCTTACCCCGTATTCATTCTCATACAATTAACGGGGTGGGGTTTTTTTCAGTTGAAACAAATTCAAAACTACAACCTACATGCAGGGCGGTCAGACCAATCACGTTTGTGATGTTCATTTCCTTTGCGGGAGCTGAACCATAACAACAGTTTTCGCTCACAAATTGGATCATGGCGTTCCTACAATCTTCCTCGTTGAGATTAGCCAAACTGTTTTAAATAGGATTTTTTTAAAGTGGTAAACTAATTAACTAATTAGTGTATGGCAATAATTTCGAATCTCTGAATAACTCATTTGTAAATCAGCACATATCATATATAAGAGAATCGTTATTATGAATTTGCAATTTTGTGTATTTTTACTTACAGATCCTTGTTTGATATTTTCTTTAAAAAATGAGATATAATGAGATATATATGAAATGTATGGCGTTCATATGTATGTCACACTTCCCAGGTAGAATATTTCAGGTATACGACAGAGCTACCTATCTAAGAGTTCCACATGTATATTTGGCTAAAAGTTGACAAAGATGTTATATCTATCATAGTGACGTGTGCATGGCGCCAAAAATCATGATAATCTTTATTATAACTTTCTTGATAAGTAGGTTGTCAATATGAACTGAATAGGTAAATCAACGAAGAAGTAAAAGAATTATCGAACAGCTAAAACATACAGATAAAACAAACATACTTGGTGAATTCCATCGGAGGTGGTTTACCCTGTGGGGGAGGTGGCGGGGGCGGAGGTGGCATAAAGTTCACTGTAAGTGTAAAACACAAACTTGTTAAATCAGGTGTATATTGGAGAGAAAAACATTTCAAGTTTATTGGTTTTCCCGCCATATGAATTTACAATAAGACATAACTAGCAGTTCATTATTGAACATTGATCACGTAATTTCTAGATCACATAATATGAAGGAAAAATACGATATCTTACTTTGTCCGAATCCTCCAACTTTCTCGTAGCCGGAGATCGTGGCCATCCCTTGCATGGTAGGTGGGCCGTACTGCGGTGGGCCCGTCCCCGGGGCCCCCATTTGACCGGTCGCTTGATTGGGGGGAGGACCGCCAGGATTCCATCCTGTAAGTATATCCTATTAAAATTTGTCGGTCATGGAGATTTGCACATGAAATCCATAAGTTGTCACTGCTTTTTTCCCAGTACAATTTCCATGATTTCAAACCATTAGCGGATGTGTTCATGGTGTGATAAATGACACAGGGTAGCTATGTACTAAAGACTCTGTCATATATTATTATGTCTCTGTAAAGAATATAATACTTACTTTGCGGATTCTGGTCATATGATCCTGGAAATAAACAACAAAAGTACATTAATACATTAATCTGCGTAAATATCACTTAGTTGACGTTTATTAATCCAATAATTAGACTGTAGTACTGTTATTGTGGTGGTATTGCGTGTACTGTGACATTGTTAGGTCTGTTGCCTAAACTGATGACTAAAATAAATTTTGTTTTTCTTTAGAAGTGAATGATAAGTATTTAATCTCAGTAACTGTTAGGGCAGTAATATACGATCTAATTAAAGTCATATCATACCAGACATATCCAAATTATTCATGAACAAAGAGGAATCTTAATCACTATGACGTCGAGGTAAAATGGCGTTTCACATTTACTGATTACCATGTGACGTTACCATGGGGACCATATATATGGACAGGACATTGAAAGGAACGTTTCTGCAATATTTGCTAATTAAAAATTTTGGATCATGTGACAAAAATATTAGTTTCCATTGAATATGTAATTACTTTATGAAATTAATTCGCATTTTTATTATTTTGTCTTCCCAAATGCTCTATAAAATGACGCGTTACTGAAATTGCCTATAAAATGAAAACTCTAGAAAGATCTTATATATGTATATCAAGCGTAACTGGATTTGCATGTGTGCTACATACAAGTCTAACAAATTGATCAAATATTGTCGACACACTACAGTTCGAGATCGTGTTTCCGTGGTGGTTTAAATAAGCTATTTAATCGGATTAACATTTGAAAAAGTTTGGGAACAAAACATTCCATTCAACACTTGATAATTGAGTTTCTTAATGGTGGATATGGATTTAGGAAAAAAATATATGCGTAATGCGAAAACCTGACAGCGCGACGGAGGTAATATAATTTTTTTAACGAAAAGCAAATACCGCCCTAACAACAAGACACACAATTCAAAATACAACACGTGTTTAAATAGATGTGTCTTGTATTGTATACTCGATACGTGCAATGTTGAGTTATGCAGTATATTGTATACCGTGAATCCTCGTTGTGTTTCACACCACGTATGTTATATGTGTATTAACTGAAAGTACATTTCCATAGGACATGTTAATGTCGACAATATATCGTTAAGAAGTAATTACAAGAGTTTTAACATTTCGAAAGACCATTTTATTACCTGTTGACTCGAATTGAAATGTGGTCATTGTCATGGACTTAATAACAATAAGCTTATTTATAGAACGGATTTGAAAGCATTAACTAAAGTGCTAATAGGTCGTACGAAGTAAACATTTATCGGTTACCGCGATAGATCAATGAATTAATTCTAAAATATATTCATTCAATATTCAACAATATTGCATATACATGTTTTAGAATAAACATGTACTGGATGTATTATCTGTTCTTTGTGTCTTATGGTTCCTTTGTTCAACAAACTAGTTATTTGTCACAGTAATTAATACTGATATGCTATACCTATAACGTGTTAGGATACTGTGGTAGGCATTAAACAACCATTTCAAAGATAATTTGATATAAACCACTCACTTTTCATTATTCAGCAATAGATATACAATACATCTATGTAACACAGAGTACGGAAAATAACATCATTTCGAATAATTAGTGCTGTTACAAACACTCTTCTTTCACTTAGCGTAGAACATTAAGTATGTTGTATATCTTTAATGCTGGCGATGACGATTATCAATTTGATGCTATAGATAGATAAAATGATAAAATGATTTTACGGATATCTATTCAAGTTTTCACATTTTTGTAGATTTTTGATTAAAGTCTTACCTGGCATTGCCATGATGACGAATCAAAGGCTCGACTATTACTCCGGAACGCGATCCACCGTTCAGGTAACTTGGTACACGAGTGTTGTACCCAGCAGTGGTGCCGCTGCCATGACGCCATGTAAACAGTACTGGTTACGGGCAGATTTATTCAACACCAATGACCCAGTGATCAATATTGTAGTGTAGTCAATGCATGACCGAGAACTGGGGCACACATACCAGTATTGTAAGAAAGATTGAAAGATTTTATAGATACATTTCACATATGTACCTATTAATAAGGTATCGAACTATTTAGGTTTAATGAACATGTTTTCACGTAACGAGTAATAGCGAATGTAACGTAAGTCCCACGTGACGAGAAATCACTTCCTACATATTTCACACGTTTGACAAACAAAAAGTTGGATTGGGGAAAAAACTAACCTTGCCAGGTCCTATACCATGCCTCATCATTATTCACTGTCTCATGTACCTGTAATTCTTAGCTTAGTATATATATCTGTCGGTATTTGTCTATTATGATGGACACAAGAATTATTTTCCCGTGAAGATGATTTGTAACAGATTGAGAGGGGGTCTCTGTTCTAGAGTTAGAGAAATGCGGCAATAACAACAGATTTTGTACATTATGGTCATGATTAAAATGGTTTTAAAGATAAAAGATTCTAAAACCGTTTCAATACAAGGGACATATTCACCCAAAAGTAATTCAAGTATTTTTAGTGTGTATCTTCCAAGGAATGATTGAAGTTGAATGTGCTATTTCAAGATCAAGAATATAGCTTCTGGAGATTACATACTTTTCCAGAAAGAGGGGAGGATGTTTTACATTCCCGTAAAAAAGTAAATCTTCAAAATATTTTGCCGTGTGAAGATTGTGAAAATCAATAAATTATAATGACACTGTAATGAATATACATATATAGATACTATAATTAAATCGATCCTCTCATCTGTAATATAATTGAATTAATCAATAATAGCTTATCTTTTCTTACGGATTTGTTATCACAGTCCACTACACACAGCCTCTTTCATGGTCATGATTACATGAACCTATGAAAGGGAACTAGGTGTGCAGTGGACCGTGGTATCTCACACTTTTACTTTGTGAGATGTGTGAAGTACAATATCTACAGTAAGAAGAAATGTTTGATCTTAGGGATACATTGTTTTCTACATAACTTTCAACTATTTTGGTTTTTAGTGTCAGTTATACCGCTATTACATTTATTTTCTTTGTCCGACGTATTGTTTCAGTAATGTCATTTCAGTATAACGTCCCATAATAACGCCTACACCATTTCATTTGAGTAATGAATTTGATCTCATTTCCAGATCACAATGGCTAAATGTATATTCATTAGGGATTATTTCGCGGAAGGTACGTTTTTCACCATGCGGACAATCATGTGACCACATCAAGACACGACTAATTTGTGACATCACAATGTGTTTGTACATACGTGTCATTTGATATTTATAGCATGGCTGTACGACATGGCACAACACGCCATTTATGTGATAAAAGGATAAACCTTTGGCAGTTGTGTGACAAAACGACATTTCTTGTGTATTCAGATATGTCTGTTTCGAAACGTATATGATTCATACACATATGTACTCTGGCCATCTCTAAATGAACTGAGCATGTCTTTTCAAAAATATGTATTACTAAAATTGTACAAAAGAATCGAGTGAACACTACCTTTCAAAACCAATTTAGAATAAAATGCAGTAGAGCCCGATATGTCAACATGTTTTATAGTTCAAATCGATGAAAGTTGGGAGACCCAAGGAAAAGCTAAAGAAAAGAAAGCCAGGTGTCACGTGTTTCGCATCATCGGTGATTCCCTTCCTGTTGATATTGGCCAATCCAAGTACGTAATTAACACGTGTCTGTGTGGTGGTGGTGGTCTGTGTGAATATATGTGTGTCTGTGTGATGAAATAAAGTCATGAAGAATCATTTGTGTTTGCTTTCCAGGAAATCTTGGTAATGAAATTAACTTTGCGCAGATTCTGGCAGAGTTTATATAATTTGAATATCCCTGCATCTCCCTCAGCTACAATTATTTACTAATAAAAGAATTGTTATTAGAATGACAATTTTAGTGAGTAATATCGACTACTGAAAGACAGTTTAGGAAAAAGTTTCATATATGTCATTTATTTTTCTATGCAAACACCCTTGGTATTAGGGTTACATATTATGGGGCAAATGAGCACGTTTTGTAGATGTTTCACACTTTGCTAACATAATATTGCACAGATGTGGTAAAGAATTGAATTGCTTAAAGTAGAGTGCAATATAAGATAGATAAAACAGAGTAAAATAAAATATAAAAAGGAGAAAAATGAAATAAAAACACATTTCTTTAAAAATGATTTAAAATTAAATCAGGCAAAAAACATAAAAATGATTTTCCAGTCAAAAGATTAATCAAATGGAACTCACACTTTCAAACAAGGAACTTTATCTATAGAAGGATTTTTTTTCGGTTCTTAAGGCTGTTTAAATGTCCACGATAAAGAAAATAGAGACGAAACATTTTATGCATGTATATTATTTATGCCTTTGTATAGTCGTGTCTATAGCTCTTGTCAAAACCTGCGTCATGCACTAAGGAAAAAATATGAAGAACAAAACAGGATATACATGACGCTGTAAACACTAACGCCTTTATCATTGAGATCAAGTAAGATTGCTTTGTTTTGATTGCTTAGCATTTTTAATAGTTTATCGCCACATACATGTAAGAGGTATGTTTCTTACTGTTTTGTGTAATTCAACACAACTCGCTATTAATTTCTGCCTTTCCCTCCTTCGACGGGCACACTTGGCAGAAACACAAAGTATATGTCAGTATGGGTGAAATCGTCTCATCGTGGTGTATAATTATTAATTTATATGCTATTTGGAATTTGTTCGCAAGAACTATTATGTTATAGCACATAAATTATTACCATCACATTACCTCTCACTGACGTATCGATACCATTATTCACTGACCGTTTGAAACAGGTGACCGCTAATGCAGGTTTAACTGTGTGCATTTTTTATGATACATTTCGATATATTTCATATAGTTATGTATAATTGTATATCATAGTGCCATCGTGGTTCTTGTATGCCATTTGAATATTCACAGTTGTAACGCAGTTTTCTTGTAAGAATCAGGGCGATGCATAAAAGCTCCTCTTGTTATAACAGAACACAGAACCTGGTAGATTGAATGGTTGGTGAGTGATCTGGCTTGGCAGCTTTTATATCATTTGCTTGCTTATTTTTCTCTACAGCATGAGAAATAGCGGCGGAAAATTTCGTCATATCGCCCTCCCATACTGAAGATGACAACTGTGAGATCTCGCGCACGGCAAGAACCTGAAAAAAGTGGTTAAAAAGACGTTAAAAACGGTTAGCAAAAAATATGACAATAAAAAACAAGATCTAAACAATAATTTTTTTATACAGAGATGGACCTGGAAATAATTTTTTAGTCTCTCTCTCTCTCTCTCTCCCTCTCTCTCTCTCCCTGTCTCTCTCTTTCTCTCTCTCTCTCCTTTACATGAGGATAACTTTCCGTTACCTGTTCTGGCGACCATGTGCTGTTGACCCTATTCTCGTCTTCCATGAACCTCGCAACACTAGCAGATAGCACTGTCGCTGAAATACAAGATGCCACTTTCAATGCCGTTTCTTCGTCGAATCCCGTTACCGCCCCCTTATGTGACGGTGATACTTTATGTTTAATTGGCAACACATGTTTACGTCTTTTCTTTCTCGATGCCAACTTGGTCTGATGTAGTGACGTTGTTACTACCGTCTCCTGTGTAACTGGATCAGTCTTGTTAGGACTTTTCTTAGTTTCTGTGTTTTTGTTTTCAATATCCCAGCTCACTTTACAAGTCTGAAATTAAGACAAGTACCTATCTGAAGTTCATAATGGTAAATATTTACATGCATAGACTAGAAACTTGAAGATAAAACAAGGCTTATTTTTTTTAATTGACAGAAACCGGAAGTCCATATTTGCAACCAGACTTGTAATCGAGGTTGACGTTCGACGTATTGTATGCAGTAAACAACCCCCTATATATACCCCTATGTATAATGTATTTATTTGCAATGTGATGAGAATTGGCAGGGACGAATTACAAACAATATAGAAGTGATATCATGTACAGGTAACCTTTTCAAGCACAGTTTATAAACAATATTAGAAAATACAGATTAATTTTTAGAAAAGTTTTTTACGAGTTTAGTTTCTGGGGTATTTGCACAAGTATGCATTCAAAGCTGATAAAAGAACGAACGAAGAACGAATAAATCTACGTGAAGACTTACACAGGCAAAAACGGGTTGGTTAGTAGTATTTGGTTATTTTCAATGTTTTTGGAGTTGACGAACATGAAGATGTATAAACGTAGTCTTAAACCCGTAATTATTGTATTGATACACAATGGAAACGTTTTAGAAGTTCTGGGAAATATAGATTCTTTATAGACTAATACACATAAAAAATATTTTTGCGATAATCGACAGAATATTGCCGAATTATGGAAAGATATCATACAGAGGTTTCACCATATCATGTTCCTTCCTTGATGTTAGAGGTAAAAGTAAACCCTGAAGGAATGTTATAAACACCCAAAATGACTTCGAAAACTGAAACCTTGAAAACGTGGCTTGCAATATATATTCATGTCATCCAAACTTATGTCAAACTAGGGTGCTACAAAATTCCTGAGCAGAGCTAACCTCTCACCTATCTTAAGTTTGTACCATAGACAACTTTTTTATCTTCATGTTTCAGATATACATCATTAGAAAAATACTCTTCATCGATTTCAATTATTTATCAAGTGATATCCCGATTTCGTTTTGCTAAACCTGTAATGTCAATTGACGAAGCAGCAAATGAGGGAAAGATATGTTGAACCTTCCTTAATAACAAACAAGTGGAGGGTGTACTCTTTTTGAGGGGGTTGTAACATTATTCTTTGTTTTGCTTTTGTTTTGTTTAAGTTTGGTTAAATTTGGGATTTTCTTTCTAAGTTTTGCAATATAATGTCCCTGAGTCAATGAAACAATTAAAATATCAAATGTCCTGTATTTTCTTTTCTTTTTCAATTTCTTTCGCATTTAATAAAATCTGTTAATCGATATACAACAAATTCGAACTCTTCAAATCCTTTCTCGTGTGTCTTATTGTACAAAACAAATTACATACATGGCAACTCGATTTGATAACTGGAAACTTTTATCAATTTTTAAAATTTGCACGCAGTGTTCTTCTAGTAGACACATGATGGAACGTACCTTCTTTGTGGTTTTTCGAGGAATGTTCTCAGTTGATATAGTACCTGGTCGTGTATTAGAATCGGGCGGATACAGCAATTCCGGCGACAGTGTTTGGAGCACATCATTCCGGTTCGCCATAAGAAACGCAAGCCATGTCTCGAATGACGTCACAGAGTTGTCCACTAAAATATATTAAAGAAAGCGAAGAAGACATTTACCTCAAGTCATTCACCAGTAACCAAAATTTAAAATTCGGCAACGTTTTTAAAATTCCAGCCCGAAAACAAAACACATAAACAAAACCAATAAAAACAACATATTTTTGTATTAATCAATTACATGACAAGGAACCATGCCTCTAACGCCTATATGTGTATGCTTAGTGCTGCCGCTGTATATGCATCTTCACTACTTCGTCAAATAAAAGAACCATTGCAGACACTGCAATGGATTTAGCACATTTTTCTTTCACGAATCACAAAACCAATATCAATTAAAATTGTTTAAACTGTGTAAATGCAGAATGATTGATTATGAAATTAGTTTTTGTCTTTTCATTAAAACATATACACATATCGTACAAAAGAAAATATATCAATTGATAAATACTTATTAAAACATTATTAAAAAACGCCACATCGTTTCCTTGTATTTTGACCCCATGTCAGTTATAACTTCCGTTCCAATCGAGTCACTGAATAGACGACAGTGCCGGTTTTAATCATCTGTTAATTTTTTCCATTTCTATATGTACTAGCATAGAAAGAAATAAAAACAAACTAACAATCGACTTGAACTAATATACATTCTGTTAAATGTTGAGTTTTAGTATATATATATTAATGATAAATATAGAATTCTATAAAGTATACGTTAAAACCTGAAACATAAGATTTTATAAATTTGATAAATCAAGTATATGTCAGAAGTCCATATGGTATATATCCTATGATTATTGAATGCAGTACATTTACTTTTAAGAATGTGTCCAAACATGAATTGCGAGTTCTAATTTATGAGTTATTTTGTTTTAACTGTGATAAATTATATATCGACCAAAAAAATAACGAACTCAGAATAAGTCTGTTCATTAGTTAATTATATAATATATTGTACTAGTTATATCCATGATTGTGCTGGTGACATATTTAATTTCATATGGTTATATATCAGTAAAGATTAGCTGATAAAAAATCTTCAACAAAGACTCAACAGGCTAGATGAAAATTGTGCATGTTCTGTTTCTAGTATCACATGTCACATCAATTATGACGTAATCAAATGGTTGTTTAAAAATAAACACGATGAGTCTATTGAAGGATGTAAACCGCTAGTTCAAGACGGTTGTTAATGTGTCCTTATTTCTACATTTCCCTACTTACCATGGATCTGTAACATATATTCCTTTACTACTATATATGGATCGTTACCTTTGAATGGGATGAGCCATTTGGACGACATGGACTCGGTTTGTGATAGCTGTTTTGATACTAGCTGGTCAATCTTAAGACGACGGTCTGTAACGGATTTTCTAAATACCTCATCGAAATTCGGGTCTCCCCTGAAACTCAGGTACTTCTAAAAATAACAATAAACGATGCAAAATAACGATAAGAAGTTAGAGTGTTCGAATCTCGATGTTATACATGGTATTTGTCACTCATTTGAGAACAGGGCATTATCTGGATTAAACTAATTTACATAACAGAAGACAAATTATATATAAGATGCATTGATCTTATTTTCAAAATGTTGTCAAATGTATCCTTGTAAAACTTTCCTTTGCTAACATTCTGACCTCGTTTAGTCAATTTTCAATAACGATTTTCTTCAAATGTCGTAATTTTAACTTATTGTTACATATTTCGTACTGAACTCTCTTACATATATGTGAATCTGGAATATCTGTGTCTTTCCTAACACATGCTCATAGAAATACCCATTTAAAGTATACTTTGAGCATACTTTACCTCTGTAACTAGTCCTGGCAACGAGGCTAAAAAATTCAGCAGATGGACAAGACATGGTGCCACGGTCATCCACAGAACCTGTGTGGCAGTCTTCAAGTCGGAGTAGGAATCCGTCACTACGCGAGCTATGAATTGCAGTTCCTTCGTAAATCCTTTCACGTTAATCCTTACCTATTTCAACAATAGATAAAACATGGAATTTCCTGTTAAATCTGAAAGAAGATCCTATATTCAAGATAAAAATTATAATGACGGAGATTAAGATAACGAATATAGGCAACTAAAATTTGATAACATAGAAGGACCAGGTATAAAACCCAATTACTTCTTGTGGTAGGTTCCACTATATCGAGAGTAAATACCTTGATTGGAAGAAACTAAATAAAAATAAGCGAAAGAGAAAAGTTACAATGCTTAACTGGTTTACTACCGGTACAAATAGGTAATTTCATCCTCTTTAATCTTCTTGAATATTCTTATTTTGGTGTGTTGCATTTCTCTCACTTGTTACAAACTTTTGCGCTCTACCGAAATTTAAATCTAAATTGGAAATTGGAAGACATTAAGATATTTCTTATTTTTTTTCTGGATTACATTAAACTAAAACAAATGAAAATAAACCAGCATTAACACCAATAATACAAATGTAATTGCAACAGATTAAAAAACAGATATATTTTGAAATTTGAAAAATGAAAAATAATGGATATTCAACCAGGAGTTGAAATTTTTTGATTTCTTCAAGACAAACTCGCAATTCATATTAGACTTGGCATAATACTGCTATCCAATAAGTACCACTGTACATTTCATATCCGTTTAGAAACCGATTTTAGGATATTGTGCAAAACACACTCAAGCAAATAACACCTTTCAATTGGACTTAGTCAGTGATGCTAAGGGCCTAAATTTTGAACCTAGAGGGGACCTGAGGAAAAAACAAATTTGATCGAAAGGCATGTCAAAATCTAGATGAAAAAGTGAACTAGCCTCATAATTGAATATATTTCTTACTTTTCCTATATGTGGTATTTTCTATTGACTATCTGAAGAGAGTGAAGAAATTTCAAACCATTACCTCCTTTCCGAGCTGTATGAGGACACCTTGTTGCCAGACATAGCTGTATTGTGTGAATGGTCTGGTCAAATTTAAGCACAAAGCTAGTATCCTAAGTACTATACCCAATGGTATGGCACATTTACAGCAGAAGTGGACCGAGATCTGGAAGTCTCCCTTGTGTGGGTTCTCTGACCAATGCAAGCTCTAAGGACATCATAAAGTGTCGCAAAACACATTGAATAGTGACCAGATTATGAAATTACATGGAAGTTTTATCACAAAAACAATCGTATCTGTGAATCTACCAAACGCTTATTAAATTGCACTGCTCATAAAAATTAATCACTACTATACAAATGATGCCGTGATCTGTCATTGCAGATTGTTGTTTTTGAACATGATTTATTTGCAAAATAATAAAAAAAGAGTTTACGCCTAAAGATAAAAAATCTATTTACGTAACACTATGCAATTGTAAATATTTACGAAATACGCATTTAAAGAAAACATTAATTTCTGACTGGATGCATTTACATACCATAAAACATTATTTATAATACTGAAGACTTGATTTACCGGTTTAGTCTCCGGGAGTTTGTTCATAAGCATGATTTGTCGCATGCTTGTACCGGACAGATAAGTAAAGAACGGCATGTCCAGCTCTGGGGTCGGGTCAATGGCCTGTCCTTGGGTGTTCGCGTGGCAGATTAGTCCAAGACTCTCCATCACACCCAATGCCAGTGTTATCTGGTCCATACGGATGTACGGCGTCTAGAAACAGAATTTTAACAATGTGCTAATGTTTCATGCAATTTTATCAGTTTTTTTCTATAGAAACATATATGATTACAAAAAAAGAGAACATATTCTAGTTGATTAATTTATATTTAATTCTCATAATTACCATACAAATGCTGAGAATCAATTCGTAAATTGATCTATGCGGCTAGGTAGAGAACTATAATGTATTAAAATATATAGGTATACATAAGATGATTTTGTCTTTTTTTTTTTTTTTTTTTTTTTTTTTTTTTTTTTTTTCCGTTTGGTAAATGATCAATTAAAAACAACCTACATTCCATAGCAGAGGTAGAAAAGATTCAGGAACCATTCCGCTGGTCTGGAGATTTTCAAGCACTCCTGCAACGACGGTCGGATTCGGCGGTGTCCGGTTCATGTTTGAAGGCCAGAACTTACCAGCCTCCAAGCGAAACACATGCCCTCCAGCGTCGAGATGGGACCGCAACATGAGGTTAGAAAAGGCAAGAGGGTCGACACAAAAAACTGTGGTCGCCTCATCTTGCGTCGTGATGTGGAACTCTCGAACATAGTCCTAGCAAGTTAAGAAGATTTAATCAGGTATATTCGTACGGTTTGATCGTAGGATCAATATCTATTTTAGGATCATATTTAAACAGATTGTCTCTGTTACACTCTGCTAGTGAATTATAATTCTTTTTCAATCCACGAATCAAAAGAAAACCATGTTCTAAAAATAGAAAGAAAGAAAAATAAATAAAATACCAGCATTTTGTTTTAACATTTTCAAAGACCTATCTTCAAGCAAAAAACCCTTTCAGTAATTTGTAGTTGGTATCATGAAAACGTAATACAATCGATATATGCAGTGATTTGTAGCTAAATCAAATCATTCTATAATGATGCGAAACGGTTACCTTCTTCAGCAGATAGTTCAAAGCTTGTTCAGTAAAGTTGCAATAAGAGTATGGTAATTGTTCTTTTGTCACAAAAATAAGATGTTCCTTGTTCTTTTTGTGGATATACTGAAAAGTCTGTAGGAGACGTGGTTTGATAGATAAGTCGTAACCAACGTCGGAACAGATCCAAGAGGCACATGCGAGGAGTGACTTTCTCAACTGCTGGAGCATCTGGTAAGATATCACATTACTTTTTGTTTACATAAATGCGAAAAATGTTGACAGCTGTGATACCAGGCCAACCTAAATGTACATATAGTACGGAAAGTACCTTTTCAGGTTTATATGGTATTCTAAGTAAATCAGACTTGAATATTCAGAAATGAAAGATGCATAATGATAAGGAGACCATTAGTATCGGTTAATGAATTAGTTATGAATGAAATATATATACTTTTATATTTTACAGCAGTAAAATGTCGTCTATCACTCTGATCACTGAAAGTACAACGTCTAGATCTGTGCCAAACATTTAGACTCGGCAACATAAAAATCGTTAAGCTTAGCTTTGTATTTAGCAACGCTGACGGTTTGCTTGGTTTCGTGCTTAGCAACACAAACGTTTTGCTAAAGAGAAGAGGAAACGTAACATCATTCAAAAGATAAATGATAACATCTCGTGAAATATCAAGATCCCAATAAATATTTTAACACACCATTTTAGTATAAGACAGTAGATATACACTGACGTCATCAACGTTTTACAACAGTATCGTTAATATCAATGAGCCTATTACATCCTACATGCATAAAAAAACTTACACCAGTGAAAATTTTTGTTATTTCTTATTTATGCAGAGTAAATAAAATTACAACACTATCAAAAAGATACTTTCAGGAAATTATACACCTGAAGTTGTCTGATAGCCACCAAAACGTCACATATAACAATTTATAATTTTTATTTAAGTATTTCAAGGCATGTTTGTTTTACTCACAACCATCAAAAATACATATACTCAATTTATTTCATTTACCCAAATATCACTAAGAAAATTGGTTACATTTAGGTTGTTAAATATTATCTATAGAAGTGTAATGGAAGGGGTTCAAGTAAACAACTACAGCAGAAAAAGAGTAAAAGAAAACAAGTACCTGAGTGTCAGTAGAGTTAAAAGGATGAACAAGTAACGAAAAGTTATTTTCTGTTATAGCTGGTTGCTTTGCTTCATCACCAGTTACTTCTTCACTTGAGGCTAATCTGTAAGATGGAGAACATGAAATGTTACTAAGGAGGGGATGGGTAGCATGATACCATAATATAACTTCGGGTAGCAGTACATTGTATCAAGGTAACGGATTTGTCCCCTTGATGATATAAATGACATGTCATGTATCAATCATGTTGTGTCAAGCTATCCTCAGACATGATTTTTTTTGTAGACAAGATTGTAGATATAAGCATGTTTTCCTCTATATTATAAATTTATATTCAACATGGTTTCTTCTTCTTCTTCTCCATCTACGTATCTCATAAAAATATTACTACAGGGTTTTCTCATCCTCATTATTATATACTTATGGCATTGAGTTGCACTTTTTATCCCACTGACATGATCAAAACCTGATCAGCGACATTACGTAGTAGTATTATACATTATTAACATATTACGAGAAGTGCAGGGTAATCCTCTGGTGTGCATACTCCTGGCTTAGCGCTATATCTCTACGTATCTTTTGACAGGTAAAACTGCCATGACAGTTCTTTCTGATAAACTATTTGAAGAAATATTTTCTTAGTAGTACCACAAAGTTATACTTCTATGTCTGCTGGTAAAAATTCAGTAGCCTATTGCAAGGTCTGTTTTCTTGGTAGCAATCAAAGTATAACAGTGCGTGACAGTAATTCACTAACCTATCACAGAACGTGTTCTCCTGAAAGTGATTAACTGACATATCTAAAAAGAAAAAAAGCATAGTCTTCTGACATCAATTCGCTAAACGATTATAGGACGTGTTTTCCTGAAAGTAATTTACTTTCCAATACGGGACGAATTCTTCTTGACAGTAATTCCACTTACAAATCGCAAAACATGTTCTGCTGGTAGCATTTCGCTGACATTATACCAGACGCGTTCTCCTGTCAGTAATCCAATTACAAATGGCAGAACGTGATCTGCTGGTAGCATTTCTATGACTTTAAACAGGATGTGTTCTCCTGACAGTAATCCACTTATAAATGGCAGAACGTGATCTGCTGGTAGCATTTCTATGACTTTAAACAGGATGTGTTCTCCTGACAGTAATCCACTTATAAATGGCAGAACGTGATCTGCTGGTAGCATTTCTATGACTTTAAACAGGATGTGTTCTCCTGACAGTAATCCACTTATAAATGGCAGAACGTGATCTGCTGGTAGCATTTCTATGACTTTAAACAGGATGTGTTCTCCTGACAGTAATCCACTTATAAATGGCAGAACGTGATCTGCTGGTAGCATTTCTATGACTTTAAACAGGATGTGTTCTCCTGACAGTAATCCACTTATAAATCGTAGAACGTGATTTGTTAGCAGCTTTTCCACGAACTTATACAGGACCGGTAACCTATAACAGAACATTTTCGTTTTGCAGTAATTTACCAACCTTTTACAGAACGTGCTTACCTGAAAGTAATGAACCAAGCTATCACCGAGCATGTTCTCCTGAAAATGATTATTTAACCTAATATTTAACCTGCCTTTTTGGTCCCCTGACGGCATTTCACTTATACATCACGGGGCATTTATTACAGTACTCGATCTCCTGGCGTTAGTTCACAGGGGGTGTACTTATGGGAGAAATTCACCAACCTACAAGTTCCCCTGGTAGTAATTTTATCACAGGACTTGTCTTCAGAGTAGTAATTCACTTACCTATCACAGGATGTGTTTTCCTGGGAGTACTGGCCGACAACCTCGTTCCATCTATCCTTTATACGACGACAAATGTCACCGATGTTAATTTTTTGACACGAAGGTAAGTTAGTTTTGGTTAGTATTGCAATGATGTGTGGTTTGTGAATCTGAAAAAATAAGAATATTCAATATCAACAAAGAAATATTGATATCATTCTAAATCAACTATTGAAAAACAACCTCTCAATGTTATGTAATTCTATGTCAACTAATCAATATTGTTATAATTTTGTATCAATCAATCAATATTATTATAATTCCATACCAGTCAAACAATATCACTATAAGTTCATATCAACTAATCAATACTATATAATTTCAGGTCGACCAATCACTACTGCTGTCAGCATGCTTTAAATGGCCTTATTCAACATGTTTTCATTGAAGTTACTAGTGTTTTAGAAGCCTAAAAAAAGTATGTAAAATGTGGTTGGAAATTTATATCTGATGTGCAATAGTTCTAATTTTTCTAACTTAAAATGGGTTACACAGCCACCCTAACACTAACATACCGAGCAAGAAAATAGTTAAAGCATCTGAAATAAATAATATATTATCACTAAAAGAAGTGTCATAAATTATCAAATGTATTGTTAACGATACAAAAAGTAGCAGAAAATATATGACAGACCCATTAACAAATGAAAATCTAAGGGACACCGACTTTGGGGGAAAAGCAAGGAAAAAAGACACAACAGATAATGAACAGAAAAAGTTTGATGTTTTACGATCAGGAGATGCGAAGTTTTGCTAGAGGTCATATTAGATCGTCATGCTAATTTAAGTGTGATTTTTCCAAGACAGCTTCACTTACCTTATACATTATATACCTGCAGATGTCTAAGACTTCCACATCAGGATCCTGCGTGTCGGCTGTTACCAGAACGAGGTAGATTGCGGGTTCTGTCAGTAAGACGGGGTAGAGTGCTCGCAATAACTAAAGGAATAATGTAAAAAGAAGACGTGTGTAAATCATAACTATGGAAATATATATAAAAAAAATCACCAATTGACTTAATGAAGCTCTTAAGGTTGACCTACCTGTCAAGATTTCTAATTTGAAATAATTGAAATCAGGCTATGATTTTACATCTTTTGAGAAAAGAAATGATAGGACATGAATTTAGACTCACCCGCCATACCGTAGGACTGAATAAGCTCTACCACCAAAGAGAGATTACAGAATTGACTAATATTCATGCAAAACGCATTCCACCGAAATAATTTTACATCGATTATTATATAATTCTTGAAGAAGTATGCCAAACGATCGATTGAAACATAGCTCACTAAAACCATGGTGAGTTCCATGCAGGTATTGATTGTAATTGGTCAAAAGATCATTTACAATGCTTTAACTGCTCAATAAGCAGGAAGCAAAGGTCGTCCAGAAATTCAAATTTAAATTTTTGAAAAATATTTGCTATACTTTATTGTGAAGCAGTTTGTCTTTGTGTTTAATACAGTAGGTTATCAAATGTATTAACCATGTTAGTATTTAAATCTTAAAAATATAACTTATTTCATGCATTAAAGCACAATTAAATGTCGTCGATGGTAGCTACTCTGGTACAATACAGAAAAGAATGAGTCTGTGAAAAGGGTACAATATAACACGATAAACAATTATATTTTCTTCTGTTTTGTTAATTGTAACCGATTTCATGATGTGACCTGAAAGTGGTTTCGTCTTGAAATAGAAGAACTGGATCAATAGGTCATCAGCTATATATAGTTAAGTCATTAATGCCATTAGTGATTGTTCTGTTTTAATTGGTATTACATCGATGTTTCCACCATGACACGCCACAGGGAGTCGTGCAATGCTGTGAAATAGACACATGAAATGATTAGATCAACCCATTCCTTACAGGACTGGTTATCAATGCGACGACCTTATTAGACTTAAAAAATAAACACTGACATATTGGACAGGTCCGTACATACTTTACTACCTGGAAGTTCCCACATGTCCATGTGAAGCTCTGCACCCAATCTCTCCTCTGTAAACAAAACACGACACGTTCAATATCACATATTTGCTTATCTGCTCACATAACGTTTGAGAAAAGCTAAATCTAGGTTAAAATAGGATGTTAAACAACCGGTAGCAAACATACAATGTGCAAACCAGGCAGAGAGGCTGGGAAATCTTATACCACAAGATGTCGACGCCCATGGGGGTATTGACATATCTTCGTTAATTAGTTTTTGTATCATCATAAGATCATATAGCATGTGGGCATCAGATTCTAACAAACCACAGAGGTCAGACGACAAATACACAACAGATCCGTCTCACCTTTGGAGGTATCTGTGAAGAGTCGGCCTGTGTACACAGAAATGTCCCCACGATCTGATGGTGCATTCATTTGATCAAGGAGGAGGTTGATGACAGTGGTCTTGCCGTGCCCACGTCCTCCCATCACGTAAACACGAGTCCTGATAAAGTTAATCGAGAACATATACACATTCTTCTGATAAATAAAGTCTTCAATAAAACTTTAAATTGCCTTTTCCAATTATTCATATCCTGCCTTATAAAATTGTTAATGAACTCAGCATTTAATGAGGATTTGGCTCAACATCCGGCATACCACATTTAACATTCAGAAATAGAATCAACACACCAAACTGGAATGTTTTGCAATTCGACATACGACATTCAACACGTTGTATTTGAATGATGTACAAGTGAATATTCACATAGACGCCTATCCAAACAGATGAAATAATACTTAAAAGTATATTTTATTTAGATGGTAAATATTCTTCTCTTACCGTCTTCAACCATTCTAATCAGAACGAACTGAACGTCATGTTTCGATTGATTTATCAAAGAATGAATTTAATCATGATAAAGGATTTCTTTTAATTTAAAACGTCAAATTTTATTTTTTTTCCATTTAAAATATCTATATAGCATGCTGTTATGACATTAAATACATATAAGACTCGTATGTAAACGTGGTACAATAAAACTCGAAAATAAGACACGTTTTATTTTCTTTGTTAGTAACAAATACAGGCTGATCAAAGTAGGGAACTATATGTTTATTTTCATTGTACGCTTATATTGACATCGGTCTTTCCGAGTACTTATGGAATTATATTACAGACAACAACAGCTTTTAGTTTGTAATTTCCATATAACAGACCCATGTTATAATGAACTCGTTTTTTCAGACTTCAGTTATTTTGTTGTTGTATTATACCCTGTTTACATATGTAAATTTCATAAAATTGTTTTATATCATAAACACTTGGTATTTGTTAACTTATATATTATCAATAAATCGTGGTAATTTGGTATAATCTGTACCTTTTGCAATCTTCTACTTCCATCATTACAGAGTAAGATGACGAAAATCACTCCTGATATAACTCACATATCGTTGTAGTAACAGAGAGAACTAATAGAACACTTCCGTATACACTCACTGTTACAGTTATGTCAGAGAAGTATATGTGTTTTAACAACGGTGATTTAATAATAAACCGATAGTACACAGTGGAATATTTGATCTGTTCTTTTGTTCATACTTTGAGTGATCAAAAATATCTTATTCAGTTGAACATTGCGTGGCATAGTAAACTTATAAAGTCAGTACCAAAGACAAGTGTCGTAAATTGCCTTAAAGGTAAGATCAACGCACACATCAAAGCGTCTACCTCAGATCCAAACGACCATTCATGATTTCAGACATTGTCATTATCAAATGATCTGAACACATCTTTGTTAGTTAAATTGCGTACATATTCTGTTCTTTGGCAGTGTGATCCCCGCATAGTAATAACAAACCCCGTGTTAACACTACTCCTACCAATACAAACGAATGGTTGCACTGACAATAACACTGTTCCTCGTAATTTGATACCATGGTTACGCTGACTGTCCCTCGTAATTTGATACCATGGTTACACTGACAATAACACTGTTCCTCGTAATTCGATACCATGGTTACACTGACAATAACACTGTTCCTCGTAATTTGATACCATGGTTACACTGACAATAACACTGTTCCTCGTAATTTGATACCATGGTTACACTGACAATAACACTGTTCCTCGTAATTTGATACCATGGTTACACTGACAATAACACTGTTCCTCGTAATTTGATACCATGGTTACACTGACAATAACACTGTTCCTCGTAATTTGATACCATGGTTACACTGACAATAACACTGTTCCTCGTAATTTGATACCATGGTTACACTGACAATAACACTGTTCCTCGTAATTTGATACCATGGTTACACTGACAATAACACTGTTCCTCGTAATTTGATACCATGGTTACACTGACAATAACACTGTTCCTCGTAATTTGATACCATGGTTACACTGACAATAACACTGTCCCTCGTAATTTGATATCATGGTTAAATGGACTATAACGAGGTTATATCAACAATAAATATGCTTATCGTAGGTATTTTCCGTGATGCCATTGTGAAAAACATTGTTCCATGGTTACACTGACAAAAACATTGTTCCATGGTTACACTGACAAAAACATTGTTCCATGGTTATTCAGTGACAAAGTCACTGTGTCGTGGTAACACTGACCAAATCATTTTGTGGTGGTAACATTGCCAAAATCACTGTGCCGTGGTAACATTGCCAAAATCACTGTGCCGTGGTAACACTGACAAAACACTTTTCCATGGTTTCAATCATTGTTTTCATCCATTGTTGTATACTGATTCCGGTAATTTGAAATGATGGTTACTCAGCTTCCTGCCAGGTCGATGGCACCATACACTTGCAAACAATTGCCTTCAAATACAATGCAAACAGAACAGTCTGTTTCTTACCCTCCGGTCAAAACCGGTTTTAGTCTACTGATAGATTTCTTAACTCAATTGATAATCCTGGAAACCTCTTACATGATTTGTGACCTATAACTCAACTTCGGCTCAGTTGACGACAGTAGCACCAAGCTACGTGCTTGTCTGTCAAGCCCAATATTCGAAAGGGGCATTGCACGAAACTGCGTATTGACGTGAATGCACCGGATTACACAGTGCTTCTGTCCAGTGCTAAGTGGCACATCACACCACTGTTAGACTGTAATATCCTCTTATCATTTATCAAATGATTACGCACCTGTCCCTTCACAATATCGACGCAATCGATTGGCAGATCACGGGCCCGGACAGACAATGTCTTTGACCACGTCACGCAATGACTAATTAAATCTCGGTGCACCTGTTCCATCATAAGTGATTGGCGATTCCCGACACATATATGTACAGCTGTATGTAGACTGCATCAAGTGTGAGGAATGCTATTTCAAATAAACCTATACAAGTGTTCATGTACTCACCTGAAAGGTATTGGTGAATCCATGCACATATATTACATTTCAATAGTAATTGATATCAGCCTACCAACAGGAGTACAATTGAATAGACATTCCGTGAGATGTAAGAGATATTATTCTGGCCACTTGTATCATTGCTGATATAAGAACAATAATTAATTATTTAGATCATTCACCTCTACATATCTATAAAGCAAATGTTAATTAATTAAATCTGTAATTCCGATGCATTCGCATTATCAGAATATCGCCTCTTCTCACCAAATATAACAATAATGACCTCGTCTGATTGGAAATCCCATTATCCTTTGCGCGTCAACATCCATAGGGTAGTAGGTTATTACACCCACATTAAATGAATTACATTATCACTAATTTCCTAACAAAATACAAAGTGTTTCTGGTCTACATATTCCATGTACAGTATACTAAATATCGATTTCATTTATTTTTTTCTATTTATCTACGTATCTTTTTATGCGTATGTATGTGTTGAGATCAATGTCTTTCTGGATGATTTGTTTATTACGAAATAAGAAACTTGCAAACTGTAAATCTTTCTAACCGTAATCACTGGTTATATCTAAAAGGTAGATATAAATCAAGACTTTCATAGAACAACGGTGAATGGATCATATGTATTTGTTCCATAAACCGTCCTCAATGTAACATGCCCATTTAAACTGAGACGCAGTCAGTGTGACGTTTTATATAGAGAAAACGTGTGAAATGTGCAAGATGTCGATTATTAGGACAGGATTATAATAATGGTAACAACCGACTTAACAACATAATTACACCTAGAATCTTTTGGACTTGAAGGGAAGTTGTGTCCATTGTCGGCCTTCGTTCTCTATATTTGTCATAACCTGTTTTGTCAGGTTTTCATCGATTCAAATATTTGAGCTGTTCAGAATATGCACATATAAATAACTTTTTAGAAAGGGGTATATCCTGAAATGTCGTTTACTACTTATCCAAATGTCTACCTAGCGGGATGTTTTGCGTTTCTGGTGAGCGAATCTGCTGTCGGTGGACTCGCACCTCTTATTCAGAGAGAGAAAGAGAGAGAGAGTTTCCCGTCTGTGCAATATAGTTTTCAAGGCAAGTTGGCAGGTAATACCGTAAATATGGCTCTTGTTGTAACAATTTAAGTCAGTTTGGCTTATATGTTTTCCGTTTTTCAATATTAAGTGTTGACATGTCCCGCATCTGGTATCTCCGCACTTCGAATTCAGGTAGTTGTGTTGGTCGTTGACATCAAATTTGGCTTGAGTAAGTATTTTCTTGAAGTTCTGTGGATTGCCTTATACAGTGAAGAATATCTAATGACTTAATGACATCGCACATCTTTCTGCTTTCGTGTAATATGACAATATAATCTTTGGCAGTTTTGATCTGGTTTATGTGTCAATACAAACGGTATATCGGTTTCGTTTGCTTGTCCAACTTCGGGCATTTTAAATTCTTCCAAGGGCATTGTTTTGGCGCGTTCAATACTTTTAGTAATTAATTGTTTGAGAAAATATAGCTCCAAACCCCAACGGATATAATAGCAATTTTGTGGCTTTTACCAAAATAAACATGTGTAGTGCATTTACACTTATCTGAACAATTTTTTATATCTCAATCGTGAACATAATTCCGACTTACCATTGCATGTACTAAAATAAAACTGTTTTCCGTCACTGCCGCATAGGCAAAAATATACGTGGTAGGTATATTATGACAGTGGCCACGCCGGTTGCGGTATAAGGTGATTGACAAAGAAAATACACACACATACGTTTGAGACAAAAAATATTTGTTTTTCGCTAAAACAAATAACCCATTGTTAAGCACAATAAGTTGACAACTGAAAGGAACACATGAAATGTATGAGCACTCCGGTTACTGATCTGATATATGGGATCTCACTTATCGTCCAACGATTTACATGATCATATAACTTAAAGAAAAAAACCAACAACACTATGCATCACCATTCTTTTATTGATCTTTGAGTCAGATACAATATGAAAGTATGAGGTATATTTGAGGTGGTCATACATGCATAGTGACATCAGAATCACAATAAGCTGGGATCATTAATCAGGGACTGGGGTTAATAATAACATGTTTTTACCACCCACTCATATACAAATCGTTGATATCAGCTTTTGTAGTATAACATTATCTACGACAACGATCAGTCTATCCTTTACACCGGAAGTTTATTCGATATTATAAAACTGATTACCCGTATTGCAAATCCATGACTTAGTGCACTAGTTTGGTGTAATCGATGTTTCAGAGTTTAAGAGTAACATATTGTTATGTAATTTTAGTTACGACAAACTAGAACGGGACAACTGGCATGATGAATCACGTGATCGCTGACACTGCCGAGGAATGTTCGCCGGACTTTCCCGAGTCCTCGAGTCCCAGTTACTATGCAACCTGCTCCCACACGTTGTGCTACATCAACAATGACATGGCCTGGCTTCTGTGAGTATTCAACCTTAAACTCTGCCTGTATCTGTAATAGAAACCAATTGTATTTATCGCCGACGAACACCTCTGATATCACAATAGATTCAAAGCTTACTATGTATGCGCCATCTTGTGATTATCAAACTATGACTAGACTGTAGACTTATGAAGGTATAAGATATTTGAATATAACGTTAAAATTATCAGTTTTGATATAAAATTATTTTTTATTTAATGATAGGCTCGATAATTAGTGTTCAACACAGTTTTCAATTTTTTGATATTACATATTTCAAAGGTATATCATTTTCTAGACAAAAAGTTAAGGATTATGATTTTTTCTGTCATTAAATGAATAGAGCTTGACATTCATTGACCACTGTTTTATCACAAACGTATGCACAATAACTTTTCAGTAATGATTTGCCAACCCACAGTTAACGTGCGGCAAGACATCTTGTAGCACAGGGTTAAAATCAAAATATCAATTGTTGTTTTATTGTCTTTGTAGACTAAACGTCAAATCAATCGACAACTTTAGTGTTTCTTCTGAATGTCCTGTCATTTTGCATCCTGTTTTGAACGTCTGTTTGCATGATACGTCACATGACAGGTGCAGAGGCTGGCCGAGCAGTCGGAATGCTTAACGCAGGATAATCACGACGAACTCTAGCTGCATTCTTCAGTGTCGATTGTGGCATCGATTGCAGATGACCGGAAACGTCACCGAGAGACCTTGATCGTTATTTGACCATGTAAACATGAGACTGCTTTAGTGGCGGCCTATACACTTTTACTGATGAGCCCAGGTTTTGGTTGGACTTTCATGATGACAGGAGGCATGTTTGTCGTGGGTAGGGAGAGAGTTGTATGTGTGTTGATTGCTGTGTCACTGAGCATGACCGTTTTGTTGGGACCTCGGTAATGAATATGGTAACAAAGATCAGTTTTGAAAATTGGCCTAACCTTTCACGTTACCTTCACCGGATCAAGCCTGCGCGGGACATGTAACATCAACTTATTACGCGGCATCCTGCCAACCGACAGGTGCTTGCTGATTGTCTTCGTCAAGAATGGTAACGAATTCCACAAATTGCCATACGGCGCCTGATTCGCAGCCGATGCTTAGCCGATGTCGTGCTTTTATTGGGGCCAGTGGAGGACATACTCACTATTGATATTGTGCTGAACTAAGTATTTTGGATTTTCAACGCCATTTGGATTTACTTATTTCAGAATGTTATGAGCTTTTTCTGTAATCGTACATGACACGCTTGAATGAAATTACTTCAAAGTGGATAATTTTTTTTTCTTGTTGTTTGACTTGCATTGCATATTCCAAAGGTATTTGTCTTTTGATACAAATAAATCTATATTTAAAAAGTGATTTCCTAAATGTGCCCAGTATATGATATGAAAAGTGGTCACGGAATTTAAAAGGCGCTTGAAACAAACGTATATACGGGTATTAAAACTCGAAGGAAACATATGTATAGAAGAATTTAAGCTATTTAATTATTATGTGTTCCTTACAATTTATCGTAAGTTTGGTTACACATCGATGTTGAAAACATGACTTGGAATCGCCATAAAGAAACTTACCCCAGCGGCCGAGGCTTTGGCTAACCATTTGTCATGTAGAGCTTGGGTGTTTTCACTTACTTCTCTCTGTAGTTGCGTTACCCGACCAGGACCTGCAGTCAGTTATAGATGAATTACTAAAGCATTTCCGACTGTTTTGATGGGTAAGCCGTACAATTCGTTATATCAAACAATACAGTCATCGGGTTAAATTAGGATAATAATCCAGTTGTTGGAAAATATTAAGAAATAAACTGTTACAATATATAAACCACAATTACGAAATGTTATATATTATATTTTACATCGTAATTATATTCCATTCATTCGCTTGTATCTTTTGAACAATCTGTAGTCGGTATTTCACTGCTTACAAGTAGGCTGTATATTTCATTCGTGCTTGGAAACAAGACCTTTCGTAACGGTCTAGACCTTAACTTGAAATAGATGAAATGAAAGCCAAAAATAGAATACAATTTTGTTTTTACGTTTCATGAGACTGTTGAATATGTGTAAGAAAAAGCGAAGAACAAAAGGGGAGTATATTTGCTCTCGCAAACGACTTCCGTTATCATTAAGCTACACCCGTTGAAGCCCTGTAACATTTTAACGCAGTGGTCGGCATTGGTTTCAGAAACTGTTTTGCATAAAAATCATTGTTTCATAACGAATCAGTAATATGATTAAATATCGTTAAAGGAATCAGAATACACTATCAGAGAACTTAATGATATGTATTTTGAAATCATCATCTTATCTTTTGCATTAGTAGAAATCCAACACTGTTGGTTGGGCTGTTAAGGACAGATCGCGGGATTTAATTATATCTAATAATAACGTTGTTACAATATCAACGTCACATGTCAGCTTGTGATGATTATTTGTCTGCAAACCTGTACCGGCCATAAATCGATGCTTATATTTACAAATTACTGACAATGAAACGCAAATGTAAATATGTCTTTTTATTTCCATGCTTGACACCGTCAATCACACATAGCCTAGTCTGCTGATGTGGCTTTATATCGTAGGTGTAATAAGTAAATCTTTCAAACATATGATTCTTATATGTCCTAGTATTCGGAACTCCGGAATGGCTGGTATTCCAAGGGAGATTTCAATCATTAACAATTGAGTATTGTTAGGCTGTTTCATCTAATGCAGTTACAAAGGCGGATAAACACAAACAAATCACTGTCGTGCTTCCTAATAGAGACGCATGCGCAGACGGGTGTCTGTATGTTCTGGTGTGACCAAGATGAAACAACAGTTTGGTTGTAGGCGTTTAGACGAGCTACGAAATTGAGTTTCATCTGATTATAATCTGTATTAAGATAACAGGGTATATTTAAAATGATAGACAAAACACGTGAACAATCGTCGGAAGCAGTTTTTGTATAGGGTTCAGAAATACAAGTTTTCAGGAATTAGCTAAATGTATTCCAGAGTAATTAACTACGAGTTCATACTTCATCTTTAGGTCATCAGTATTTAAAATTCTTTATTAAGAGCCTATTTCAATCAGATTTAACATTCATTCAATCACTTTACCTAATGAACAGGTCACTTTTTCCATTCCTGTTTTTTGATGATTTGAGGCACTTTGTGTGTATGATGGATGTTATGCCTTTTATCCATGTAATTATTGCGTTCGGAAATTTCATCCTGCAGGAATACATTAATGTCTAACAGGTAATATTTTCTTCTTCCATGAAAAATCAAAACGATGTACATTTCTTCCCTTAAGTTTTATGATCATTCCGTAAATACATCTTTTTGTCCTGTGGCCCCAGGAAAACCATGAAAACTTTGCCAAGATTAATGAAACTGGATTAGTCATCGTCATTGACTTTTAATCTGTGCATGATTCGATAGGAGAACATGAAAGAATGCCAATACAATGAGGCTTAATTAGGGAAAAAACAGAAATCGTGGTTTTCTTTACCAAAGACAGAAACAAAGAATGGCTCTTAGTGCAAAATTAAAGTAATTGGTACATTGCTTACCGTTCAGAAATAAATGTAGATTTCACTCATTAATTCCATGATTCACTTAAAATGTAGAAACAAGTCAATCTTAATGCGCTATATCTATATCGTTCCCTTATTAGTTCACTACTTCATTCAGTGACTATAATACACTCACTAACTCTCAGAAGAATGTCTTCAGCACATCTTGATACCTGAGTACTGACGAACTAATTTATATCAATCTTACCTTTGTATCTTGTATGTTTCTGAAGTTTTGATTAATTTTACTTAAATGATGATATATTGGAAAGGTCATACTACCAGTCTTCCATGCACGGACAACTGTAGACATAGGACATACTCATGTTTAAGTCGTTAAGGTATAACTCCGGACAATGGAGGAGGATTAATTGGTCTCCGGGCTTGTGGAACTTCTTCATGTACCCTGGCAATATATCAAATATTGATATTAATACATGTGTAATGATTTAACAATAACATCGACATTAACCTTTGTTCCTCATTAGCCGAACTAGGTTTCAAATTATAGGACCTTAGCATCACTGACGAGTTTTAGAATGGCGAAACAGCTGTTTGATAGAGTTTATTTTATCATTGAGTCTCTCTGGAGCCCTGTAATTGCGATATACGATGTGTTATTATAAATATTCGTATTGAAAGTTGTCATTGTTTTGTTTCTGTTGTATTTGTATTGACTCTACGGATACGACCTTACAATAGCAATGTAGAGAAGTCCTTGATGACATTGAAACAGCCACAAATACATTATATACATACAAGGTCGCAAACACTTGCAGATACGTGCTCAACTAAATATGAGATTGGTGTAAGTGTCATGGGAACATATCTTATAAAAGGGTCATTAACCTGTATCCTGGGAGACAACGTGTACCCGCTGAGATAGACAATCTGTACATTGGGAAACACGTTGTACCTGGAAGACAATCTGTTCCCTAGGAGACAGCACTTGGGAACAACCTGAACCATTGAAACAAACATGCACCCTAGGGGATACCCTGTTCACTTGGATACAACCTTAACCCTTGAAAACAACCTGTATCCTTCCTGGGAGGCAACCCGTACCCTGGGAGACAGTATGTATCCTGAAAAACAACCTGTACACTGGGTGACAACATGAACCGTTGAAACCAACATGTCCCCAAGGGGATACCCTGTATCCTTGGATACAACCTTAACCCTTGAAAACAACATGTATCTTGGGTGTCAACCTGTACACTGGAAGACAGCATATACCCGCGGAGACAACATGTACCCTGGGAGACAACCTGTTTCTTTTCAAACAACATTTACCCTGGAGAAAAAATTCAAATGAACATACTGCGGTTTCATCCGTGGAGGTTTCTAGGTATATAGATTACGGCACACCCCGGTGACTGAAACCCTACTATCAATGTCTACCATCTTTGGTAGTAGACAGCATGGCTTCACTGTTATACGCTGGACTTATAATCCATTTATTTTTCTTTGCTTTCCACGGAATATTATCTGAACTTTGTGTAGTGAAACAACTCTTTACACGACAGACTCAAAATATAAACGTTTAAACCTAGAGGGGTGAAAAGGAACCTTCACGGGGATTCAAGGTCGAAGTTTTGTAGAATATGCTTACGACATGACGAAAGAAGAATTAGACAGAAATATATCAAAATAATGAATTATTAAAAAAACGTCACAGCTGTTTCATCCTTCTGCGGTTCGCGGTGATGTTAGGAACCAAAAGTTTTAAATTAAGGTAATGACAACGAAATTCAAAATTTTCCTAAATACATCAATATCCTTCTAAGTCGATATGAATTCCTGTCACTTATATGAAACTTAAACTAGGGATATTAAGATTTATTTCAATAATCCATACCATGTCTATGTAAACACGGCAGTGGTGACGACGCCGTAACAGAATACAGGGTCCTCAAAACAACAATGGATATCGTTAAGTTACATAAGGTATAGTTACTTGATGACATGGAGATTAGGTATGGCATTGTACAGCTTATTCTGAAATGTTACAAACTGCATGCAATACTTACAATCGAACGCGAAATCGGCATGATCGCTGCCATCCACAGCCATTAACACGGGGGAGTTCGCCATATTTCTGATACGTAGCGTGGGTGTGGTGGTAGGGATCGTGGGTTTACAGAGATAGTGTTGTACTGACCGTCCTATTACTTGTAAATACCTGTAATGGATATAGGTCATCAGTACAGATATGGTTTTGTCCGAGGCCTAACAATGTCCCGTTAATATACACATATATATATAGCATTTATCCCAGTAGTTGTAACTACAACTTATGTAATGTCACGTCTTGGCCAGGTTGTGGAATACAATTATAAATAACCATGATAAATTCATAAATCACGGGGTAAGTATAAGTTAAGGGTTCGATTTCAGTCCTCAGATTGTCACGTACTACCTATAACGAAATCAAACACGGTATACACAACATGCCACGGTAGTTATTGGATAAAGATGTCTATGTGATAATGCATATTATTTATCATTCCAGGGTCACTAGTATAAGGCTGAAAAAATTCAGACATATCATTTCTGACATTTTCTTTAGTTTTTCTTGTTTTTTGTTTTTGTTTTTTTTTTTTTTTTTGTTTTTTTGTTTGTTTGTTTTTTGTTTTTGTTTTTTGTTTTGTTTATGTGCTATCTTAAACCGCTAATAATTAACGAGTAATCATCGTTTTGTTTAGGGATTTTGGTCGTTTTTTTTATTCTTTTCTTTTTTTTTTTTTTTTTTTTTGGTTGGGGAGGACGGAGGGGTAGTATATCTTTCAATATGATTGGAAAATATTTCATGACAACCATTCTATTTTCAAATGCACATTTCAGGATTCATTTCATAACGCCTGAATGTCCATTTCAATTAGGTTGTAAAGGTTTCCATGCATGTTTATCTACTGTAAGCGCGTCCTGGAAATTAAAATCATATATATGTATATGTGATTTATGGAAAGGTGTACCGTAATTGGCGGCGATGGTAATTGTCTTACAATCACGGATATACTGTGGATACTTTAAAGACTAGAACAGATTTAATGGAGGGTTGTTATGCAAATTCAAATATTTGACTGGAAATGGCATGCATCACGTGTCCATTTTAATGTTATTGATGTTGTCATATAAACGACAAATGTGCGCCGTCAAAACAGGCGTTTCTTTTGACGGATTGCAATGTCGGAATGGATAATCCATCACAATTTCATTCGATATATAATCTTCACATGTCAAATGTAACAGATATGGCACTGACAAGCCAGAGGTATTACAACATACAGAGACTGAGTAGTCTTACCAATTCGTTTTTGTTTTCGCGAAAATTGATTTACAATCAGTGGAGAGACTTTTGTTTGTAAGCATGGAAGAATTATGCTGATGATGAGACCGAGAAAATGTTGGAATTTCTGACTGGCAATAAAGTAGTTGCGTATACTGGTAAGATCTTTCAACAAGACTATTGACATACCTGTGATAACAAACTGTATCACTGCTTTGGCTAACACATATTTCACACCAAATCCGAATTCAAGGAAGAGGTTATGAAAACACCTCATTAAACATGTGCCAAATCCTTCAGACTTACTTTTAGATATAGCTATGCTGTCTTATCTTTAAATAACAAAACATTGATCACGTCATTTGTACATACCAGTCACAAGTGTGTGTTACATTATAGCCTAAATTTGGATCCAAAATCAAACGGATGCACTTGTTTTGTTGTGCTATTTTGCAATTCATCGTACATGTCATGACGTCACAGCCAATTTATGACTGGCATAGCCAATGATATGTGGTATAACACACTAGTGACGTATACAAAAATATTACATTGACCGGTTAACACGGGAAACAGCCGATTATATGATGAAAGTATATTTTGCATGAGCCAGCTTGTATGTTTCGCCCAATACCTATTTTATAGATGTTTTAAATACTTTGAACGTCATTATTACGATTAAATGCAACGACAGTGCTTCGAAAGAAATAGACCGCTTAATGTATCGATGTGATATAATCGATGAACTTGTTTTTGAGGAGTTATCTCCCATCAGTCAAAAAGGCAATATGTCTAACGCGATGTGGACGGCAAGGGAAGCAACTCGGTCACTCTTTATAATTTCCGTAATAGGTCATAATACAAGTGAAGTTAACTACAAGGAAAGAAATTGATGTTATATTTTCCAGCGGTATGGATTACCGAAAATCGTTCCTATCTATACTCTAAATACCTAAATGTAACTATCAACAAGCACATATGTAATAGGTATCCGTAGATAATGTTCGTTACACTGAGAGCCTGTTGCTGGACTTTTAGTCTCCGAGGTTTTGCCATCATCTGGATGCCACGATTTTATACTAATGAAAAGTTTCATGGTTCAGAATATACACATCTACGTGACGTTTAAAATTATCAGATACTGTTCCTAGGTATGAAAATTGTCAAGTTTATATATATTTTCTTTGGTGAAATAAACACGCATCTATGATAAATACCTATGGTCACCCGACGAAATAAGCACCAGCTTACAAATAATCAACATGTTCAGATGAAGCATGAATAAGTCAGATACAGCTTGTGGTTTGGACTGAACTGACTAGAATATAACATGAAACAAGGAAGATGTTTTATAACAAAATTCTTGTGTTTGCCGTAAACAGATCACACACAAGGGATGAATATTCGGACCTAAGGCGCTCTGTTGAATCAACGGTATTCGTGTGAACAGGAACAACACTGTTTGATCACCATTCGTGTACAGTAAACCGCCTTGTGAGTGATGATCATGTTATAGATAAGTGTGTTTTGATACCATACTGTTCTCGTTTTAGACAGAGAAACGACACCAGAGATCCATGTTTACGAGGAATTTATTCAACACATACATGGATGACATTATCATACGTGTTTAACGACTTCAAAAGCTGAAAATCAACCATTGAATACATTTATTAAAAGGACCATACCACTTTCACATAGGAAATATGAAATCAACGCCAATGTGTCAACATTCTGTAAATGTATCCTTCCATACTGGACCAAAAAGTATTGCTCACTAGGAATTACAATTATATTTCATAATATGCCAGTGAGAAAATGTTATACTACATCAAAAAATGGAAACGGTTCACACGAGACGTGCCACGAGATTTCTACTTTTGAACGAGAAGTAAAAGCAACTGTCTTTGCCACTTAACAGTACGTTGGAGTTACATTACATTTTGCAGTTTTAAAGAGTTCCATATAGGAAGTTCATTACTGAAAACGAAACAACTGCATATAGCAAGTATATAATGTACAAGTAAAGCCTGATTGATGATTAAACCATTGTCAAAGGAAGCGTAAGCTCAACTGGAAGTTATAAAACTGGTGTACAATCATTATAAGCCTGAAACTAAGGTTTTATAGAAATATCTAGCCAAGGATACCTCGAACAGTGGTGTCAAATACCGACACATTTAGATCTGTGACTCTGAAGGGAAATGAAATTTATCCTACCTCATATTATCAAGAATATAATGTCACAAACTAGGCTATAAGGGAGTTTTATCATTGTTTTAATCTTTCCCCAATCAGGCTGACGATTAATCGAAAGTAGGTCGACAAGAATTACTTTTCAAATCAGCTAAGGATTGGTTCACGTGTTCGTATTCCTGAAACCTTACGCTTCCTTTGGGCATGATCAAGTAGCAGAATGACTTCTTATTTCCACAAAGAGTGCAATGCTGACTATTTGATTTACAGGGATGTCAACACATCACAAAATGCTCAAGCACGTGAGTGTGTTCTCGTTGATCTACATATCACAAAAGCGGTTCTGATTGGTCGATAACATAAACACGTCACAACGTTAATTTAGATATGACAACACACGAATCCCTCTCTTACATATAATACAAAGATTGTATCACACGTACATACTTCACATACCTGTATACTCATACACACTCGATAATAGCATAATTAAACGACGACTCTATCTTTATATTGCACATCCACCTGAAATTCCACAAAATTAGCTACATAAGTTATAAGAAAAGTAATCCCTTACGATGTAACCCATGCTTTCTTCTGTGATATACTGATGTCTTAACACGAATGCCTAGTACTCTCAAAGAAACTCTCATAATGTCTATCGAAAATGACATCTGGATTTAAATAGAATGTAATCAATGACAGAAGGCTCTGGTAATGGAGTTCGACGTTTACATTTGCTCCCGTGTGGCCTTGGATAAGTGCGATGTCTTCTATTTTTCTTTGTGACGACAGACAAGGACTGGACAGGGAGCGTGGTGTACTACAAAATCACTAACACTGCCCAAGATGGTTCTCCGAATCTTACCCATCCCTCTTGTCCCGGTCACGATGAAGGCAGCTTCACTTTTGGTTGCCACGTCGACAATTGCATGGCCAGGTTTTTCGGCAGACTCCACCTTAAACTCAGCCTCTATCTACAAGTAAACCAATAGATAAAGTTATTTTCTCTTGGCAATGAGAAATTCCTAATTGTTGTGATATAAACTAGAAATATAAAAACATCATATGCAAATGCACAAATGTTACATTGAAACTTGCATATCCTCAATGTTTAATAATAATTTACACTTCTTAATTTTAGACTGTTCTATTCACTGGAAAAATCGGGATAACTCGTTAAGACTGAACAAATTTGGTTCTATTAGACGTAGTGTTTAACACAATTATAGTAAAATGATACTTATACGTCATATATCAACATTTAATTTACAACTCTGAATTTCCTTGTGACATTTATATTGTTATTTAAATAAATTAAGTATAAATATAATCAGTGTCGATGGAACTGAATCATAAAATAGCAATTTACATATCTCTATTTCATCTATATTCCTTCGGTTTTGTTGTATTATGATATATGCCACAGTTCTGACCAATGTCTTGGCATCATTTATTACAGAAGTATTTACACTAACGGCTGATATTGGCAACTTTCTCTTACTACAGTGTAAACTTGTGATCTACGAGGGTTTAAAAACCTTGCTGTTTCTTTGAACATGAAATTGAAAGTACAATGAACTGAATTAATTGATATATATGCAGACAACATGGCGAAATGATCATGTCACTGCTAGAGTAAATTTATTACAAATATGCTGACATGTTGGTATTTTCTTGTTTGTTTCTAATTAGATGTACGATAAAAGTTACTATATTTATACTTCACATGTGACAGTCTCTTGGTGTTTACATGTCACAATAAGTTGCTACTCAACTACACTGTAGCGATAACATGATAAAGTAATCAGGTTGCCAAGGTTCCCGCCTACGTTGATGGTACATAATGTTATCGTGGAGGTTATTGAAACAGTGTTTTAAGACAGGAAATGCTAGTTCCTATCGTAAAAGGTTTTCAAGGTATTCAGGTTCCTGTACTGGAATGGAAACATCGCACTGAAGGTTCGACATGGAGTACGCAACGCTGGTTTCTTTTTTTCTGAAAGATATTAACTAGGTCACCAGCTACCATTGTATACATTATTGAGGGTTCATGATTATTTCCTTCTTAAATTTTATCAAGGTGTCGCTCATGTTTTTGTCCCTGACTTGGTTTATTCAATGTTGAGGATCATTACATCCATAATTCGATCCTCCCGGACACTTCATACCGCCGGTGCCTATCTAATTGCTTGAGACGGCAAAAGTTTCGACGTTAAGTAAATTGTGTATCAAACTATATCCAGTCGACATCGCGAAGAGAGGTTGCTTCAATGAAACGGCACTTGAGCATACACAAAAACAAATCCTGTTCAATTTATATCCACCAACGGGGAGTCACTACATCCGGTAACGGCCCTATATAACTCTCTGTTAATGACAGCCATCAAGAACCTCTGTGCGTGGTACGGGCGACAGCGAATTAGAATAATTACAGTCTTGATAATTGAAGAATTGGACGGATCTGGATAGTGTCTCTCAGGGATTACATTTACAAGTCCTACTTATCACATGGGTAATAAGCCATCATTACACACACCTATATATATATATAGCAATATATTACTTGTGTCGTTGTTCCGTAGAGGAGACCTTTGCTTACCCCTAATTTGTTGGCCTTCTCTATGAACTTCCGCTTGAGATCACACGATTTTCCCTCTACCTCTCTCTGTAACTCCGCTACCCGACCAGGACCTGAAAATAGAATTAAAGTTCTTATAACACAACCAGTAGAATATTTGAGCATGATGTTTCGATGATAACACGGTCAACTTCTTTGGGCAAATGGCAAGTGCGAAACATAATCGCACTGACATACGTATGTAGTGTACGAGAAGGTATGAAATCGACACTTGCGGGTGTAAACACGTGTCGTCAATATGGTTCACAAAACATTCTGTCATTGCTCGTTAAAAACCAAAATGCGATACGAATATATTAATGATTTGAGGTTTAAGTGAAAAATGAAGAAAGATATTCAGTTCTTTACTCGAGCCAGTAGTGTGATATTTGACGTTGTTTTCTGATGGCATAACCAGACGATTTCAACAAGACAGAGCAATTTTAAAAGCGGTCTTTTAAAAGGTTCTACAGTTCTGTAGATGCATCATGCATTAGAAAGGCTTATCAATATTCATTTAAATACGTTTTATACAGGATGTTTCAAACTCAGCGAATTAAATACGTATTCAAGCTGTGTTTCCATTGTCTATGTATAAATAGAAGTGTTGGTGGATTTCAGTGCAGTGAATGTAAAGACCTCTGCTTATATATGACTACTAGTTTTATCAGATGTATACTTTCTGATTTTGCTCTCTGAGAAATATAACGATGACGGTTACAAGCTGCATGATATAAGGTGCCAACATGAATGTCATATTCCTATGTACCGTGAAGAATCGGTATTACATTAACCAAACACGCGATACCGATATCATCAGCTGATATGTTACATTGAGATGTGAGAATATTTCCAATATGGGATGAATTGGCGAACGCAAACCATGGGCGACTCTAAAGTACATTTAATCCGTGCTTTCCGTGCGCGTCGTCTTAGACGAAAGAAAGTGATACAGTGTTATAGAGACATGACTGGACAGTGTCCTTAAAGAAATCCTGAATGGCTCCCATAAGGAGGAATTTTTGCGCATAAGGGATGTTGAGAGAGATGTTCATCATGGCCTCGGGAATGCTCTCTCTAAAATGATCGTGTTACTTCAGGACTTCATAACTTCAAATATTTTTGTATCACGTACATGATGTACATGGTTAAACTTAAGTCATGAAACTAGAACAGCTATCGACTTGACTCAATTCTCCTCTGCTTGATCGAAAAACTGTTCCCCGAGGAAAGGGCCTTAATAGTGTTATAGAAGTATATAGTCAATGCATCGTAAGAAATCAAATTACTAGCCAGACGTATGAGTTTTATCTATGAAACAACGGCTTCAACAAGTAGTGTTGGAACCGTTATTAACGTATATAAAAAGTCAGTTTTCATAATTACAGTCCAGCTGACTTTACAATGCATCCGGCGGACTCGCTTATTCGAGATATCTCCAGTATGGCGGAGTGTAGCGAATTATTCGTTTTCCAATTGTTTTTTCTTCCTCTGGGAATACTATCAATTTGATAGAAAGCAGCAGCCATTTATGGTCAAGTCCTGGAAAGCGTCATGTTGTTTGTGGAAATTAAAAGTGGTTCAAATAAAGCAATGCACGGTCATTCATCCTCAGCTCTCGTTCCGACTGATTAACATTCCATTATGAATAGAATGTGCATTTTCCATATCTTCGAATTAATCAAATGAACCTTAATTTGACTATTTATAACCATTCATGTGGTAGAAAATAACGAATAAATAATCAACAAAGTTAAATCAACAAGCTGTGATAATACAAATGTACTGGATTTTACCACTTGATCCAAGCAGATTTAAATCTTTTCAGATTATAAAAAAAGTTTGACTGATTTCGAATCATATGCCAGTCTGATTTGGTGAATATTGATCATCTCAAAAAGAAGACTTTGTGTACCGGCCTTCACAGAAAATGATAACCAATCTTCTTAAATAAACATGGGCCCGGTCCGCCTTCAAAAGCGAAGGTTGTGTTAATGTCTGTTATTGGCTGCGCTAAATCCTACAAAGATTGATAGACCATCATTCAGTTTTCCAAACTGTATTATGATTGTATTTTATCATTCTTGTCTAAAATTACAATGCCTTTAAATCCAAATCAAAACGAATTTCTACTAATTATTCCGAAAAAAAAAATTACCAATATTGTCTTCAATATTTAGCTATTATAAGTAGCATATAACTTATAAGAACATGCATGTGGTAATTATGATTGAGCTCGTTTCTACAAGGTGCAGGTTTCATATCCGTTAGAATTTGAGGGAAATGTCGACTAAATTATGCTTTTTATTTCATTAAAACATCAACAAGAAAATACCGACATGTTAACATAATCACAATCCAAACACAAACGTAGTAAGATCAGGACATAATATGAACAAAAGAAAGATTTACACGAAGATTCCTAAAAAGTACAAGGAAATTAAGACCAGGTGTTTCGATAGAGTGAGCGACTTCTGCTTCATCGACATGTCTTGTAAATTTTGGTCAACCCAAGTAAGTTATGTCACGTCCTCAATAAGAACAAGGTAGGCGGCAAAGGAATCAACAGGCAAACTTACGAGCATCAAACACGTCCAACTTCATATCGCACAAAGAAATATATTTCTCAATGCGATCACTCAGACATGTTCTACGAGTTTGTCCGTCATTTGGCTTATTGCACAAAAATAGTGATAATAGGAATTTTCCTTTGGATATAGAATCAACTGCGACATATAAGCACCATATGTTTGGAATGTTGCTATCCAGAAATAGAAAATTCACAATTGGAAAATTTAAATCATCACGCTTATCATACAAGTTAAGGAAAGGTGCCCATGGTGTTTTCGTTGTAGGAAAATATCGAAAAGAGAGGCTGATGTAATACAGTATGTAGTTTCCTTGATTTCTAATTCGGGTGGGTATATACGATGGACGCGGTCAATAAAGTTCTTGTTATTCAACGACAAGACGTCATCAATATATCTAGAGTGAAATTGAACGATTTTGCAAGGTCTTTTGTGACCTGTTTGATGAGCTCTGCGATAAATTCAGTATAGGATAAAAACAGCAAGAGGGGCAAAGTTAGTTCCCACAGGTATGCCAACAGTTAGTCGGAAGACCTTCCCACTAAACTCAAACTTGAAATGTTTGTATAAATGATACTCACTCATGGTAGTAGCGTTTATATAGTTTTCAGGACAGTGGAGAAGAAGCACTTTGTTTCCGGGCTTGTGGAAGTTGGCGCCGTACCCTGTAACATATCAATATAGAGATTACATTCAAATAAAACCAGTCATGATAGTGTCGCCAAATTGGATGAAATATTAACACAAGTAATATAAAAACATGCAACACATATCTCGCAGATGTATGTGCTATACAAAGCAGATTACGTGTGCTACAAAAAGCAGATTTTTTTGTAAATTTATTCTTATAGCAACCGACAAAATAGGTCAATTTTCATCTCTGGAACAATGTCGTGAAAGTATATCAGCTTGAGTACATGAGATTTTTATTATGGAAATTAGCATGGTTACAATGTTGAAAACAGAAAAAAGTATAATATTATCCCTATTGCAATCTCTTTTAATTTCCAAAACGTAAAATGTAAACATGGTTGATAGGGTGATATGGAAAGATTTTCGCTTCCTTTCTTCAACATGCTTTTACTCTATCTTCAATTTCTCATTGAATTTCATTAGTTTAAGATATAGGTACATATCAGTGACGGTAGATGAAATAAGAATAAAGCATTTAATTGTCTTATTGTAATTCCGGGCGTTTTGAGTACAACAGTTTGAAGCAGGCATATCACATTGCGCTGTCATTCATATTTGGACAAATCAATGTTTACCTTCTATCTTTTATTCTTTTATGTCATAGTTTAAACTTAACAAAATGATATATCATCAACGGTGTAACCCACCACACATAACAATAATCTTGACGGTGAATTGTCGCCATATCAGTGCTCTCAATACAGACGTTGTAACATCTGTATAGTTACTTTATATAGTGGAATTGCCGTATGTAGATATTACCTGATAACAGCTCATTGCCCGGTATCAGTGATCGAATTTATATATTACTAGTCACTTATGTGAAGTAGACTGAAAAATAAATTATCTGTGGGACTGAAAAGATCTCAGTGTGACTAATTGGTGTAAGTTTTACACTGTATATAACGTATATGGTACAATGTATAATTACAACAACAGAAGGGATTAGTGAGCCAGAAAGTGTTAAGGTCAACGAGGTGCCACGACGAAAATAAAGCTAATTCATCGATCCCGGAGCAGTCTTTGCTGTACGATTGATAGCTACGTGATTTCATTATATTTATTTTCCTTGCTGTCTTTTCTACGGGCCCCAAGCTGGCAACCACAATCTTCAAAGACACATTGACATGAGAAAATGGGAACCAAATATCTCGTTTCCCTTTTAATGTCGTACAAGGGTCATGTTAAGGGCTCGTCTAGCTATGTACCATTACAGTACCCATGGGAAAGTTCTGACTTACTGCAAAATCAATACAGTCGGATGTTTATCCTCTGAGAATCTCCATAACACATGGAGATTTGTGTATGTCGGTGTAAAGAAACATTCATTAACAGTTCAGTAGTTCATTGGACATTTCCATTCATGGTCTGACTCGCTGATCACAAACCTGTTCAAACAAACATCCCGTGTATCCATTATCTCACGTTTTACTCGATATCGCCATTATCCCGTGTGGCATCACGTTTTGACCTCATAATTCGTTCAGTTCACACATGTTAGTGTTTACTGAAAAGACACTATCTTGTTGGCACTCTTAAGTAACCATTCATAGCTATTATTTATGTTTCTGGCCAGGAGAAGATAATTTGTTGTAATATATCTCAGTCTTGTGGTAACACACCCGATGACTATCTGCCTATAACTGTCCTCAGAAACGCTTTTGTTATTTTGTTGTACGTCGTGTAATAGATTTTCGTTGACCACTCATTTCTGGAGAAGTAAAACGGGCTTCTTCCTATCCATCCCTTAAGACAGCGTTAGAATATATAATGTGATGAAGATTATTGTGTGGTGGAAGGATTCACCCCAATCTGAATAATTATTGTAATTTTTGATTTACATTATGTGGATGGCGTTGCAACTGAATTCTGCCATCATACTAGCGAACGTTGTCAATAATGACAATGCATCTCTGCTGATGAAAATTGGAAGAATTAGTAGGTATTCTTGAAGGTTATCAACTAGTTAATGTGCTGTTAATTTACGAATCATCAATGAAGTACAGCATGGTTACGAAGTAAGACTCGACTTTGACTTTGAAATAGTTTTCTTTTTTACGTGAATTCAATATATCACTCAGAGACATAGGAAGGAAACAGACATTTGTAGATTCTTTGTTTTACTCCATTCTGTCCTGGTACAGGAAGGCTTTTACAGTGTACAGTAAACAGTTACTAAATTTTCATCATTATGAATTGCATCAATTGGAACCAATGCAGTCCGTACCATCATATTTCTTAAAACGTGTTTGGTTCCATATCTGTCTCGACATATTCATTATCAAGCACACGTCATACAACAGCAGGTTCATAATGTACAGATTATTCTAGCTCGTTTAAGCATCCAACTTTAGCTTCAACCGGAAGTAGTCATGTTGTGAAGCTTTTGGTACCTACAGTTGCAGTAACGCACAATCCACTTAAAAATTCGGATTGCACATTTTGTACGGTTTGGTAAAAATGATTGGCAAATATTACGGATTGAAAATTAAACGGAGAACTCGAGTAGTTATGACTTAATGGCGATCACAAGAATATTCAAATTGGTCGGTGGTTATAAAAGTCATGTTCAATATCACTGGACCCTGCATTAATTAGTTTATATTCACACCTCAGAGAGTGCGGACATCGTGCGCACATAGCACATCGTGTAACGTAGTGCGATCTTACAACTGATGGTAATATTATATGAAGGTTTGATATTGTTATCAGTATATCCACCGACTGCTCACAATACTGATAGTCTTTCTATGTACCACAGAGACCTGTAGCAATGGTCTCTAAATATACAGTGCTTAACCTGCGCTGAAAAAAAAATCACAAATCAATTGATTGCGATGGAGCATCTTTAAATGGGAACAATCGATACATCAGCTTTTTAGATTAGTTCTTAAAAGTCCCACATGTGTCTGATGCAAGTTATGATAAGAACTGAGGCGGCTGAAAGGCTGCACGTAGCTCTCCACCCAACAACTATAGCAAGGCTGGGATGTATAAAAATATTCAGGACCATAAATACACGTGTACAGTCACTGGTCATCAATAATACAATACCATCCAATCAATAGAGTTATTTATAGTTGTGGAATTAAGGAGGTCAGTGACCATCCTCAAACATGTGTTGTGTACCAGCAAAAGTAAACAAGAATTATGATCATAGAAATACACTGGAATAAAACATATCTTCATCCATGTGAACCATTTTCTGATCTCGTCTTATCTAAAAACCAATATTCCAAAATCAATAAAGTACACAGAGCAGAGATATATGTAAGACATAAGAGGATGAAAGGAAGCATAAACGAAACGTTATTTTGTCGCTCCGTATCAGAAAATTGATTGTTACATCTAATATTATGAAAGACATTACGTCGGGAACAAATCAAGAAAACTTTCATTTGAGGAGATGCTTCCTTCTAACAGCTGGTGGCTGTATCACTGAACAACATACAGGAGCAGCGTTGTATGTCTTCCAAAGCAATTGGGAAGAAGTATCCAAGAACATAACCATGCCAACGTAGACCAACCTGTTTCTCAGCTTAATGGGAAACACTAACGGCAAGGGCATGAAGTATCCAACCAGGTATCTTAGCTCTTCACCCGAGGTAGTATCGGCCAACATTCTACCCAATGAGCTATGCAGACCGTATAACTACATGATAATTTGCCGTACTTATGTCTTTATCGATTGAAAATGTAGAAAGTATCTTTAACTTCGCTAGAGTTAATTATATTAAATTAGTAATGAAAATGATTGTTATGTAGAGGGACAGCCATTATAATTGTTTCGATAATAAAGGGGGGTAATTATGAATTTCTGTAGCAGTGGAAATGGGGAACCAATCAATATACCACAAGGCAACGTAATGATCACGAAAAGGCATAGCAATTTGTTTAACGACAGAATGCTAATTGTTTTGGTAGGTGAAACGATATTATAACATGAGAAAAAAGGTTTCAAGTTAGAGGGGAGATAACTATCACGAAATCTGCAATACGATGTATCTATTTACATTTCTAATAAAACAGATATAAAATGCATATATTGTAGTGATTTAAGGACAGAATATTGATGTAACGATGCCAGAATTTCTAATTTGCGGCTAATTGACCTCGACTGAAGCCACTGCTTATAATATAAATATGATCGATATTGATCCTCATGAGATATTCGGGAAAATCTGTAGAGATACACATCATCGCTAATAACAGCGCTAATTAGGAGGATGTGTTAATTGGCAAGATCATGTACATGTATGTTTATTCAGGCATGTAGCGGGCGTTCATGTTAGCTACAGTTCCTTATCGGAATCAGGTACACGTTGTCACTATAAAAAAAACAAATCTGCACAAAACTGAAACTGCAGGCATGGATGCATTAACCTGATTAATTTTTAAGGGCATGGCTCGCTGATACATATGAAAACAATACTAGTTGATTGCTAATCAATACCTTAGTAGTTTATACATGTTCAGCGTCAGTGTAGCACACCACAGTATCGAATATAATGCCATTGATGTTTTTAGTGCAGGTATCAGTGTTTAGCTTGTGCCATGTGTGTATATAAGACCTAGTGTACATGTGCCTTTATTTGTATACACAGTGCCAATGTTTTTTTACGTTTACAAGACTTACCTGTCAGTTTTAGTCATCTCTCTCTCTCTCTCTCTCTCTCTCTCTCTCTCTCTCTCTCTCTCTCTCTCTCTCTCTCTCTCTCTCTCTCTCTCTCACACTCACACACACACACACACACACACACACACACACACACACACACACACACTCACAACACACACACACACACACTATGACAGTATGAATCATTATATAACAGTAAGAATACCAGTTGGCATTAAATGTAACGGTACTGGTTATGATGATGCTTTGCCTGCACAATACTCACATTCAAAGGCAAACTCGGCCATATCACTTTCGTCGACACCAATTATAACAAGTTGATGATGTCCAGGA